CACGGTACTGATGAATGGGATACTAATTTGAGATTATAATTCGGAATTAAGTATTTTACTGATATTTTTTATTAGTGGATGCTACTTATCAACAAATCACATATAGCCTTATATAAATTACAACGAAAATAACTACTCTCCACAGTACTGAAATTTTGACTGGAACTACACGTGCATTCACGAAGTTGCGAAGTTGTGCAGCTTGCATTGTTTTCAAGATTACTGTCATGCAAAGGGCGGGCTCTGTAGGTAATTTTTTACCAACACTTGAGTTAAAACGAGGACGTTTAAACTTCAATATTTCGCAGGAATTTTGAATTTTAACATTGGACACAGAACGGACGGGTAAAAGTTAGTACAAAGATTATCAATTTTTTAAAAATTGCTATTATTCGAATCTATGATAAAATATGAAAAATACATTATTTAATATTTTATAGTTTGTAGTGAAATTGAAAAATTTAAGATTAATTGAATATATTTATATATTTTTGAAATAAATATACTATTTAAAATATGCATTTTGTGTGGTTTAACAAGCAGGTAGCAAAAAATTAATGCGTCAGAAACTTCTGCAAAATTTACCTCACGTAATTTATAAACCAACTTAAAATATAAAAAAAATGACGCAGCAGCAGAAAACCTCAAATTTAAATTTAGATTTAAACACGTTTGTCTACTTGGATGAACTAAAAACACCTTTGTGTTTACTTTAATAAATAAATAGATAGATATAAATGTCTTTTTATACAGTTTTTAATTATAAAACTAATATTATGAAAAATTCTTCTTGTGAAAACAATTTTAAAAAATTGTTGCATACAATATTTGTAAAGGGAGAAACTTTTTGTTAGCATATTATGTTTCACAATAATGAAACTTAAGGCTGTATAAGAAAATTTGAGAAAACAAACAAAATTTATTTATTTTAACTAACGGTATTTTTTTACTCTCTCGTTTAAACAAAAAATTTTTAGACACAAATTATTGGAAATTTATGAAGAATAATTCTGCAGTTTTACTTTTTATTGTGTAAGAGGTCAGGTGGTAAAAATTTAATTTTATGCTTTTTAAGTAAGCCTCTATCAATTCATGAAAAAAACAGACAGTGTCTTGGCAGGTCAGGCTATTTTTCACCACAGTTTGACTGGACTAAAAAGGTTTTAATGTTTTTTGTAATTCAAGAAATTTGAATTTCTTTTAAGCTACAAATTTAAATAACTTTGTAACTTTATTTTTTATAATTTCATTAAAACTAAAATTAAAATTAATAATGGTAATTGGTATTAAAAATTTAATATTCATACCCAGTTACAAATAAAATACCAACCGATTAAAATGTGCTACATATAGGTGAATCTCAAGAAATGTCCCCCGATGGTGTTACCCCGTGATATTTAATAAAAGTAAATGAGTTTGTCCTACACTTTTATTGTGTTTTGATCTTTCATAATTAAGTAGATATTACAGCTCAGGTTCCAGATTTTTAACCGCAATTAATTATTTTTTGTAATGTTTTTAAAGTCTAAAACCTATCCTCCGTGACTGTTACTCTTTCTAGGTTAACCTATATGTTTTCCAATATCTGAGGTAGTAAAAGCATACTAAAAATATCAGTTCACTAAGTAAATTAAACACATCCAAAGCAATCGAATCAAATATGAAATATTATTAAAAATTAAAATTAATAATTTTTATAACTATTTATGTAGGTGTTACAAAAATTGATTCTATCCTCCGTGAATATGTTTTTGCTTTAAATTTTATGCAACGGATGGCGCTTTAATCATTTTAAATAAGCAAAAACCTCTGTTAACGACATTACAGATGCATGTGATTCCTGAAGGTCAGTTAGAATTTATATGCAGATGAGAGTGTTGCTGTTTTATAATTCAAAAGTTTAAGTTCATTAATTTGCTAATTAAAAACCTATCCACCGTGAAGTGTAGTATCTCAGTAAGTATGTACAATTGTATTATTTTAAAATATTAAGGTGTCAAAAGATACAATAACTTATTTCAAATATACAAAGGGATGTTTTAAAAAAACACGAAATCCTAACCTCCGTGAGGCTATCTTCCGTGAAGCTCTAATATTCAAAATGCATGATTTCTTAAAATTCTTGCATTAGTGCAGAACCACTTATGTTATGTTATTACTAGACCTGGTGGCTTCCCAAAAACCCCATTCTAGACTAACAGTGAAACAACCAAAAATAAAAATAATCATTTTCACTTGGGGGACATCTCAATATATTCACCCACATATTTTTGATAGATTGCGAAATAAATATAATAAATATTTTAGCCAAAGCTTTCCTTTACAGAAATGTTTTACTGAAAATATTAATTTTGATAGAAGGCTGTCGTGATAAGTTCTTGCAACGGCCCTTTTCAGGATAATATTTGTATATTTTATCATAAGTCTCAGCTTATTAATGTGTACCTAAAGGATCACTTAGTGTCATGAAAACATCTACATATTGTACAATAATGCGCGTTTTAAAGGTGAGAGCACAAAAACAATTTATTTTCTTTTAAATATTGGAAATATCTATAGCTCTTGGTATTGATTTTATTACTGGACCAAGGGTCCTTCGCAATAATAAAAGGCATTTTAAATTAAATTTCTTGAATGAAAAAAGTCCGGAAATATTCCCTAAATAAAAATCGATCTCCATTGGGATTTGCACTTAAGAAATACTTTATCAGAGATCCTTTCTTCTGCCGTTCTAAGTAAACAAAGTTTTTTCGGTGTGAGTGAAATTATGCTTGGCCACTAAATAAAATAATATTATTTAACTTAAATTTAAAATTGTAATGGCTATAAAAACTGTACCACCTAAGGTACCTTTTTATTAAATTTTCAGTGTCTTATTGGGACAAAAACCTACGATTTGTCAAAGTAATGAGATTATTTTTATTTACAGAATAAACTTTTTTTACTGTTAATAAAATTCTCATTTACTATAATAAAGCAGCAATGTTGAGCTTTAATAAAAAAAAATTTTAATCCAACAAAGTAATAGTTGTTATCATATTGCAATGGCAATAAGAAATACTTTATGTTTATATTAAATCTTTCTCGAACTTAAAATGTTTTTGCTAAATCTATATTTGTGTGTGAATTGCGCTTACATAAAGTAATGCGCAGTTGTCATAGTAAAATTTGTTCATTTTACTATGGCATATTTGTCTTTTTTAAATTACTATCGTTGTAATTCAAATTAATTATATTTCAGTTAAAAAATTTTTGTTAATAGCTTACGTTAAGAACAATAACAAAAATATTTTATTGCTATAAAAAGACTTTTTTATATTTAGGTACTATTGTTTTGCAATGGTAACAAAATTTTTGTTATTTCCCTTAAAATGAGGGGGAAAGGGTCAGCGCTCTCCTTGGTAAACATAACTTTATAATCCACAGTCTGTGTTATAATCTTATTGATTTCACTTGTGCGAGTGAAGTGTGGTAAAATCTAGCATGATAAAAATATTGAAAAGATCACTAAGAAAATTAAAATTTCGACGTTTTCTAAAAGAAATATTTAAGGTATATTCTATAAACGAAGCAGACTTGTTGTTTAAAAAGTGAGTTCATATTTTTTTTATTTTGTTCATCATATAATATGAGTTAATTTTTTTGTTATAATAAATAATTTGTTTTAATGCCTTGCAATTATTTAAAAAAACTACCCAACACCCAACAGTAGGAAAATAGTTTATTGAATTAAGAATTAATTTGTTGTTAAATTTACATACATTTTATTTGTATTATAAAAAGGAATTTGTAAAATTTAAAAATTTCTATGAATAATACCACTAGGGTTTCATTAATACTACAAAACGTTTTTGTTAACGGTATAGAACTGTTTTTTTGGACAAATAATAATAACTATATTTATCAATGCGTTTGTGCATCTGGAAGAGTGTTATTTTAATAAACATAACGTAAATTTACTTTATAATTAATGCAAATTGTATTACTAAATGCAGCGTTTGTAGATAATAGTTATTTATGTCATTAGGTTAAAAAGTGATGGCTTTTTGTGCTAAGCTCAAGGTTTGAAGGCCGACGCGTAGCGGAGGCCTATAACTGAGCGAAGCACAAAAAGGCACTTCTTGGCCGAATGGCATACAACATTTTATCTTCAAAGCACTTTATATAGGTCAATTTAATTCAACATCAAAGCGCCTAACCTCACTTTTTTAGAATCTCATTTATTTATTAGCTAAAGATTACATTAAATGTACAATAATTATTATTGCTTTTAGAAGCAGTAATAGTTTGACAATACCTAGCAACATGATTTAAGTAGAAATGGATAATTGTTTAATAAATAGGTAGGTATCTAATTTCAATTTGTTTGGATTTTTATTTAAAAAATAGGTAGTTTGGAATGTTTTAGCTGTGTTTAACATTTAATTTCACTGAAAACTTAAAGCAAATTAAAACTTAAAGATAATTTAAATCGTAGAAAAAGAATCGTGCGTTTTCTTGGTTGCCTAATCTCACTTTTTGTTTTATTATTCATATGTATTTAATTTTACAATAATTTAATGAAAAATATTAAACATTAACAGTAAAACAAACAAATTAGTGCTTATTATAAATAAATTAAACCAATTTAGTACGTTAATTTCTTAGAAAAGGATTAATTTGTCAAAACAATACCCCTAGCGAGAAAAAATCGAACTAATTACTTGCCTCATAAAAATTTTTATCGGCCTAGGCCATAACAAGGTATTTATTTATCGAATAAAGTTTAAATTATAGACCGCGTGGAGATAAAGAAATTTAAAATGAAAAATGAAGTACTTAGAATCAAAATTAAGGGCACAAACTTTAGAGGGATTTTTTTTTCGATATTTGTAACAATATTTGGAGTTTCGGTGAAAAACAAAAAATATTCGTTTTAAAGGACCACTTTGTTATTCCAGTCTCAGATACTTTAAATTGCCAGAGTAAATATTAATAAAATTTGACCTTTATTTTTTCAGCCGATCGTGCAGATGAGAAACTCCACAGAAGGACGACGGTCCGCATGGGAATAAGGGTTGTCCAAAGGGCCTACGCCCCACCCTCGCCCTATCTCTACGTGCCTGGGGGTGGGGGAAAAACCGGGAAGGTAAGAAAATGAACGAAATTGTCGGTAGTTTATTTTTATTTTTCAAACTGCTAAATGGAACAGCTTCATATTTTGAGGTTTTTACATTTATACAGGGTGAGATTTATTTTACTTTACTGCCGATTTCGGATAAACGTTTTAATTATGGGCGTTGAGAAATTATTTAATACTTTTCTCGGTGGTCAAAACTTAAGTATAGGACGAACAAAAATGCCAACCAAAACTGATTATTTTGCAATTATTGTACTAAAACTACCTGGACAATTTTAATAAAATTAAGCAAAATAATAAACTTTGTATCATTTAAATTACTTTACTCCCCAGTATTAGTTTATTGAGTCACCTATTATTTTTACCACTCAAAACAAAACATAACAAAAAAAACCGAAGATTTATATATTAAATATTTTTTATAACAAAAAATACTGGAAGTTTGTCTATGAAATAATTACAACTTGCAAATTTTGTAAAACAATAATTAAGGTGGTTATGAAAAAAATTGCTATACGTTATAACGCAAGTGACATTTTGCTTTAGTTGTTTATTTAATGTATACTTTATAAAGTTAAAAATAGTATTTTAAAATGAAAATTAAACCGAAATTCAAGTTAAGCCATGAAGAAAATCGAAAGAAGGTATGTGCTGGCTGTGGAGACAAAATTGTTTTTGGTAATGAAAAAATTCAGAGTTTAGGGTTTCTGAGAAAATATAAAAATTGCTGCAGACTTTTTCAAACGAACACTTTAACTTAACTGATTCAAAATTACCTACTTCAATATGGTAAAAACGGTATTTTTCCATAGCCACAATTGCCAAATTTTTAAAATTTAGAAATTGCTAGAGAATTTCGCGGCAGCAAAGAATGTATGTGCTTTATCTGCAAAATGGCATAAAAAATTATTAAGGGAAGAGGACGGACGAACGAACTAAAGTTTTGCTAGATGTAAGAAGCATGTTTGTACAGAGACTGAAGAATTTAAAAATACTGTTTCCATGTTAAAAACAATTCTATGTAAAACCCAAGAAAAAGTTTTACTGAAAATTTAAGGCAAGCAGTAATCGATTTTGCTTCAAAGAATCTTTAGTTATTTATTAGTTTTGTATTAGGTACCTTAAAACAATAAATAAGATATTGCGAACTGTATTTTACATTATTTTGTATTTATAATGTAATTTATCCATATTTCAGTCATGCATCTGCCAAATTTTTAAAAACATTTGATAATGGTACTAGAGTATTTTATCGAAATGGCATAAACAATTTTAAAATACTAAGAAATATGCAAAACCTTAATAATTTATTATAAAGGATCAGCTGGGATTTTGATAAATACATTTTTGTGTTACCAAAAGAGTCTATAATCAGATTATGCTATTAGTTTTGGTTGGCATTTTTGTTCGTCCTATACTTTAGTTTTGACCACCGTGTTTTGTATTGAGATAATAAAATAATTTTTACATTTGGTATTATTTTAAAAAACTATATAAATTTTAATTTGACCTAATTTTAAAATGCCCACAGAATTTCCTAATCAATAAGTGGAAAATGCAATTAATGATTCTATATTCTTTAACTTTGTATAATAAAAAAAAATCGGGAAACATGCCAAGTTATAAAGATGTATTTCTTAATTCAGTCAAATTTAAAAATGTTTTATTTTGCGGTCGGGGCACTCTAAACGATATAAATTCAACGTTCTTTCACCAAGGAGAAGGCGAAACAGAACAAGAAAGCCCTGCTCTTCGGTTGCAAAAGCAGTCCGCTGGAGTCTCAGTTTCCAAGGGATGAGCCGTTCGGCATATCCAGATCTGTGGAGGCCGTTGGAGGTTCTCATTGTGTGGAGGATTCGCCTCAACATGGTATCAGCAGGTCTTGCGGAACCGTCGTCGAAAGAATTACCAGGGAAAAGAACAAACCCAAGGATAACTCAGGTAATAAGAGAGCAAAGCTCACCCACGAACTATCCAAACAAATTTAGAAATATTTGATTTTATAAATCTAACCATCCAGTAGGTATGGTCCCAAGTAGCAAAGGGTTGCCACCGATAATGCTTTACTGTAGTTGGTCTTGAGATAATGAAGCTTTATGATTAGGCTTTATGAGCGACTTTAAAGTAAAGTATTAAAGTCTTTTTGCAATTATAACCGTTTGATCTTAACATTGATTTATTACTGTTAACCAATAATGTTTTTTTAGGGCAACTTGCCCCTAAGAAACGCCCATAGTCCAATAAGCTTTATGAAGGTTTATCAGATGCCTATTGGTGTTTATTGTGCTCGGAAAGTTGGCTTTAATGCATCTGTTAAAGCCGACTCATAGAAGCTTTTAGTCTTAGGACCACTTTTCCTCTATGTAAGAATGTTACAGAACCAAACCGTAAAAAGGTTTTATGATTGTTCCTAGTACAGCAGCAATACGTCTATTGCTATTATTCTTTTTTAAAACGTTTTTGTCTTGATAATCGCGAAGAAAATAAGTCTTGTCAACATGTCGCCGCCATGCATGAGGAGTTTTTTAGAGCGGTGGTTAAAAGTTCAAAAAAAGTGTAAATTTTCATAGAAAAACAAAGTTGGCTCCTGTAAGAGCCGTTAAAATTTGTTCTTCTGTGTTGTTTTCAAAACATCCGGTTGATAATACTCATTGTATTCCTTCAACGTCCTGTTCCAACCAAGAGCTAAATCCGCATCATTCTATCACAGCAATTAAGACAATTTTTAGGTGTTATCATCTGACGAAGCATTATAGCCCTGATGGCGATACTTTTGATGAAAATACTGCAAATTTGTTTTAAAATGCTCGCACAAAATTCCAATTGGTTTTATGATTGCCTTGAAAAATGCAGTCATAGGGCTTATTAGTTTTAACAAATAGTTGTAAACACTTTTTAAAGCAATTAAACTTTTTAGCAGTTGTTTGCAAGAGTACATTATTTTATTACTGAAATCGCCATTTAAATTGGAAAATATTGCTCCGCCATGATGAAATAATTTTAATATAAAATGCGCATAAATCATATTTTTCAGAAAATTTCAAAAAATTTGGTTTTTTCGAGCATATTAATGCTAGAGAATATTTTTTCGATAAGAGATGGCTTAAAAAACGGAATGTAGGTCGGGTCAGTAATTTAGCCTTTAAAATTGTTTAAATTCAGTGGACATCATACGTTTTGTGTCTCGGCAATCAACTTTTATCAGTAAAGTGGTATTTGTTTATGATTTTTGCATCCGAAAGTTATTGGTTGGCAAAAGATAATAATTTTCTTATTAAGTTTTTAAAATCAATAATGGCCTATGCTTGTGATTCATAAGGCAACAATATACCAAACAAGTATTTGATTAAAGCAATAGGGAATTTAGAAAGTACAACAATAAAGTAAAAAGGTATATCAAGAAGTACAAATTGTCAGCTAAAATGTGTTTACGACAAAAGCACACTACCTCCTTAAACCTTTTGCACTTAGCAGGTTTTATGACAGCTGTAAGGTAGGTTTTATGGCTGCTGTAAGGTGTGCCTTAGGAGTAATACAATAAAGCAATGTTGCTTTGTGGCTGACACACAAATTGCTCCTAAGGACAGCGATAGTATTCTCCTTTTAGTCCTATGATGGTTTTATAGCTGCTGTTTAAGCAAATATGTTTTAACTAAGGAATAGTTTTATAGAGCCCTTGTATACCTTAATAAAACCTTTCTTGCTACTTGGGATATATCAATGGGCCTTAATCGACAAACGAAATTTATTTCAGCGAACCCAACGATTACAATCGACGAAGCAGCGGATACAAAGAACGTGTCCTTTAAAAACGGAGACATCGAGGATAGCGCTTCGACGTCGGATGTTCCTGAACGACAGATGGCGACACTTGCACTCGAAAATGATACCAAGTACTCTGATTCTGACAACGAGGAAAGCGAGGTGACAACTAAAATTTAACTTTTTTTCTTCTTGTGCTTAAGTTAGTATTATACGTATGGGTCATTTTCAAAATTCCTGTACTATTCTCCACACCTCAAAGTCCCACCACGTGACCACGTACGGAACGCAGTCTTTTGAAAATTTGGCATTTAAGGCTTTTCAGGTTATGTATCTGTCAAAGTATAGACAACGAAAGAAATAATATTATGTTTAGGCGTTAAAAATGTATAAATCTTTATAACATTAGAATAACAATGGATGGTTTAAGAATTTAAGAATATAAATACTGCATTTAATGAAATTCTAAAGTGTATGGTGCCAAATAAGTAAGTTTGGATTATTTAAAAGACTGTATAATATGGTATTTAAAAATGTGGTAGTTTTTCTTATCCAGCTTAAAGTGTAACTACATAAAGTTTTGTCAATACAAATAGTTAAAGAGCTTCGACTGAACTTGATCTACATCGAAAAATCATTATAACTTTAAAAATTTAAATAAATCACATGTCATGGGAGTATTAAATATTTTCACATTGCAAGTTTCTCTAAAAATTGTTTGTTTTCTTATAATCTAACTTAAAGTAGGTATGCCGAGAGGTATGCACAAGTTTTGTCATTAGAAGTATAAAAGCTTCAATTTAATTTGAACCATATTTAACAATTATTTAGTATACCTATATTTATTTATGACCATATTAACACACTCTTCCAAATAATCCACTTATTTATTTTGGTCGAAATAGATTTTTCTAACCTTAAAATGCAAAATTAGATGATATTTTTTGTTCTAATACATTAACCATCAGTGGCGGCTGATGGGTTTTGGGTATTCCGATATCTAAATTATTAGATATGGGACCCACACCAAATTTATATCAGTTTATAATGACATTAAATAAACAAGTTCTGCGCAAGCAGAATTTAAATTGAAGTTTGCGAAAAAAAGATAACCGAAACATCGACACAGTACTGATGAATTGGATACAAATTTGAGATTATAATTCGGAATTAAGTATTTTACTGATATTTTTTATTAGTGGATGCTACTTATCAACAAATCACATATAGCCTTATATAAATTACAATGAAATATATAAACGTAAGAAAATAACTACTCACCACAGTACTGAAATTTTGACTGGAACTATACGTGCATTCACCACAACTTCGCCGCTTGCATTGTTTTCAAGACGACTGTCGTGCAAAGGGTGGGCTCTTTAGGTAATTTTTTACCAACACTTGAGTTAAAACGAGGACTTGACGTTTAAACTTCAATATTTCGCAGGAATTTTGAATTTTAACTGAGGGGTAAAAGTGAGTACAAAGATTATCAATTTTTTAAAAATTGCTATTATTCGAATCTATGATAAAATATGAAAAATACATTATTTAATGTTTTATAGTTTGTAGTGAAATTGAAAAATTTGAGATAAATTGAATATATTTTAAAATAAAATCACTCAAATATTTGATTCAGGAGTTATGACACGCCAAGGTACTGATGTTTGGAATATTTATTATGTTTTTTTACAAACGTGCTTTTGAAAAAATACATTAAAATTGGGTGGAAAAGTTAAAAAAACCTGAATCTTTTGTAATATACTAAAATATTTACAAAAAATATTAAAATACCTACTCTATTGACTGATGACATCAAGTTGTCCAACTTTTGTAGAATCACCAATATACAAGGTGTCCCTAAACTTATTGGCATAAATTTAGGAAAAGAGTGAGCAAGTCAAAATAAGACGAAAACCTAAATAAATATTTTTCCTAATTACTTATGTTTCCAAGATACAGGATGATAAAGTGTTATCTATCATATCAGTTTTTTTAATATAACTTCTACTTTGGTAGTCTTGGAAACGTGATATTTTGCGAACAGTCACTTACTACCAAAACACATATAGACCAGGGTCGATAATTTTTGAAACCAAAAAAAATAACAGTAGGATGAAACCCATTGGAAAAGGAGAAGAATATAATAAAAATAAAAGGAAAAATAAATTACGGGCGATCTGACTTCGGGAAGTGGGAGGGGGGGGGGTTTAAGGGTAAAAAATGGTTTATCTCGATTTCCGGCAAAACTACAAGTCCTATGGAAAAAAGTTAAATGGCAAAGTTGTAGGTAATAAAAGGATCTACAACTTTTGTCATTATAATTTTTTTACATAACCTCAAAATTTATGTGAAAAATTCAAAAAACCAAGTTTTTGGTTTTTTATTTTTATCTTTTTCAAAAAAAAATTTTTTCCACGAAATTTGGTGAAAACTTACCTTTTTATGTCCCACCATACACTGTAATTTATTTGATTTGAAATATTTATTATTTCGCCTTATTTTGACTTAATATCAAAAAAGCACCCTAATTTTCAATCGAAAATTCTCGCGTCAAAATATCAGCTTTTTTCAAAAAGTCGGAGTGCTTTTTGTTCGTTGAAATCTCTACTTTCTGATGGTGTAAAAAAAATATACATTACTATGGTAAATGTTCTCAGAAAATGCAAAAAATATTATAATGAATAACGAAAAAAACTCGAATTCGAAAATTTATTTTAATCATTATGTACAATTTCATCAAAAAAATGGGATTGTTGCAATTTTTTTAGTTAAAAAGTTTACTTATTAAATTCTAATAACATTTATGTCAGAAAATCTCATAAAATATAAAAATACATGTAAATCATACTATTGAATTTAGATACTTCATTCTGATTACGTTATTCATTATAATATTATTTGTATTTTCTGAGAACATTTACCATCGTAATGTATATTTTTTTTTACACCATCAGAAAGTAGAGAGTTCATCGAACAAAAAGCACAACGAATTTTTGAAAAAAGCTGAAATTTTGACGCGAGAATTTTCGATTGAAAATTAGGGTGCTTTTTTGATATTAAGTCAAAATAATGCGAAATAATAAATATTTCAAATCAAATAAATTACAGTGTATTTGGGACATAAAAAGGTAAGTTTTCACCAAATTTCGTGGAAAAAAAAATTTTTTTGAAAAAGATAAAAATAAAAAACCAAAAACTTGGTTTTTTGAATTTTTCACATAAATTTTGAGGTTATGTGAAAAAATTGTAAATACAAAAGTTGTAGATCTTTTTATTACCTACAACTTTGACATTTAACTTTTTTCCATAGGACTTGTAGTTTTGCCGGAAATCGAGATAAACCATTTTTTACCCTTAAACCCCCCCCCCCCTCCCACTTCCCGAACTCAGATCGCCCGTAATTTATTTTTCCTTTAATTTTTATTATATTCCCCTCCTTTTCCAATGGGTTTCATCCTACTGTAATTTTTTTTCTCTTTTTACCATTTTTAAAGGCTTCTGCACTGGTCTAATATTCACACATAATTACAATTGTTTGAGTGAACACAGTGTCGTAGAAACGGGGGTAGCTTTAAGCTTATTATCCCATACAAACTTTGAGGTTAGGTTTTTATATCATTTGATACAATTTTTCTATAACACAGTTCGTCTACCATTAAAAAGGTGTACCTCTCAAACTTCGATAAAATAAACCGTTTCCGAGATATTCGAGATTACAATAATTGTTATATCGCATTATTTAAAAGGTATATGATAACAAATTTTATTTTTTAATTGAAAAAACTAAAAACGGCATTCCATGAGCCTCGAGACTTTTTACACTCACCGTCACATTAAAAAAAATTGTATCTTTTTCAATTAAAAAATTTGTTATCATATACCTTTAGTCGATATGCGATATAACAATTATTGTAATCTCGAATATCTCGGAAACGGTTTATTTTATCGAAGTTTGAGAGGTACACCTTTTTAATAGTAGCCGAACTGAGTAATCGAAAAGTTGCATCAAATGGTATAAAAACCTAACCTCAAAGTTTGTATGGGACAATACGCTTAAGCAACCCCTGTTTCTACTACACTCGAACAATTGTAATTATGTGTGAATATGTATTTTGGTAGTAAGTGACTGTTCGCAAAATATCACCTTTCCAAGTCTACCTAGTGGAAGTTATATTAAAAAAACTGATATGATAAGTAACACTTTATCACTCTGTATCTTTTAAACATACCTAATTAGGAAAAATATTTATTTAGATTTTCGTCTTATTTTGACTTGCTTAATCTGCTCTTAAATTTATGCCACTAAGTTTAGGGACACCTTGTATAGTATCTTTTGGGTTATTCTTTGTTTATATAGAAAAAAACAGTGCAAGTTTGTGGTTTTATTTAAGCCAAACATTTTCGTTTGCTTTCATTTTAGAGCAAATTTTCGTCCCTGGATAGGCATCGGTATTTGTGCGGAGGTAAGCGGCCCAGCTTGGCGGCCTACTTATCCGAAATTCCCGCACCAACCGCCACAGTGGAGAAACCGTTCCTCCTCAGCGACGGTAAAGTGTGCCTTACCGCATCGCTGGACAAGGCAATCTACTCGCACGGCGAGGAGATTCAGATCAACGTGAAAATACAGAACAATAGCAACAAAACCGTCAGAAGAATTAAGGTAAAAAATGTCTCACGACACGGTGGTCAAAACTTAAGTATAGGACGAACAAAAATGCCAACCAAAACTGATAGCATATTTTGATTATAGACCCTTTTGGTAACACTAACATGTATTTATCAAAATCCCAGCTGATCCTATTTTAAAGTTTTGCAAACTTTTTTGTTTTTCTATTTCTATAAATTATTTTGCAATTATTGTACTAAAACTACCTGTACAATTTTAATAAAATTAAGCAAAATAATAAACTTTGTATCATGTAAATTACTTTACTCCCCAGTATTAATTTATTGACTCACCTATTATTTTTTACCACTCAAAACAAAACAACAAAAAAAACGAAGATTTATATCTTAAATATTTTTTATAACAAAAAATACTGGAAGTTTGTCTATGAAATAATTACAACTTGCAAATTTTGTAAAACAATAATTAAGGTGGTTATGAAAAAAATTGCTATACGTTATAACGCAAGTGGCATTTTGCTTTAGTTGTTTATTTAATGTATACTTTATAAAGTTAAAAATAGTATTTTAAAATGAAAATTAAACCGAAATTCAAGTTAAGCCATGAAGAAAATCGAAAGAAGGTATGTGCTGGCTGTGGAGACAAAATTGTTTTTGGTAATCGAAAAATTTCTGAGAAAATATAAAAATTACTGCAGACTTTTTCAAACGAACACTTAAGCGATTCAAAATTACCTACTTCAATATGGTAAAAACGGTATTTTTGCATAGCCACAATTGCCAAATTTTCAAAATTTATAAATTGCTAGAGAATTTCGCGGCAGCCAAAAATGTATGTGCTTTATCTGCAAAATGGCAAGAAATAAAGGGCATAAAAAATTATTAAGGGAAGAGGACGGACGAACGAACTAAAGTTTTGATATGCTCTTCCTTTCTAGGGGATATCGTTAGATGTAAGAAGCATGTTTGTACAGAGACTGAAGAATTAAAAATACTGTTTCCATGTTAAAATCAATAAAGGCAAGCAGTAATCAATTTTGCTTCAAAGAATCTTTAGTTATTTATTAGTTTTGTATTAGGTTCCTTAAAACAATAAATAAGATATTGCAAACTGTATTTTACATTATTTTGTATTTATAATGTAATTAATCCATATTTCAGTCATGTATCTGCCAAATTTTTAAAAACATTTGATAATGGTACTAGAGTATTTTATCGAAATGGCATAAACAATTTTAAAATACTAAGAAAGATGCAAAACTTTAATAAAGGATCAGCTGGGATTTTAATCAGATTATGCTATCAGTTTTGGTTGGCATTTTTGTTCGTCCTATACTTTAGTTTTGACCACCGTGACGACTGAACTATATTTAAAAAGTTGAAGGAAAGTTGCAACTTTTTTCTAAAGTTTCAAGTTAGTAATATTTGACCTTTTTATACCATTATCGACTTCGTGTGAAATGCACAGTGTTTCTGATTCTATGAGTTAGTTTAAAAAGAAGTTTTCATGGTAACAAACGTGCTAAAGCTTTCTTTTCACAAAAAAAGTAATTTCAGGTTTTTATAACTTAAAAGTTTTTTATTGCAATTTTAGTAACCAGAATTTAACTGTACGTTTTTTCATAAAACAATATAAAAAACGACATTCTAACTTTTTGGTCCCCAAATATACTAAGAAACACCCTGTATGCACTAAATATATTAATAGGTAAATATGTAATGTTAATGTACTTACTAGAGACCTTTTAACCAACTAAGTTCTAAGTACTATTACACTGAAATTTATTGATTAGTTTGTACACCTATAATTTTTTGTTAGATTTTTTTAAAATATCCAAACTTCAATATAAATTAAATTGTGTGTGGTGACCTTTAGCTAAGCAACACAAAAATTTGGGTAAGAAGAGTATCTACCAAATTTTAACATATTTCAACAAAATTTAAATTAAAAAAAACAACATAAGGAATTAGTAATAAACCTAATAAAGCATGCATCCAAAGATCTAACACACGGGAATCTTAAATTGTATTACATACCTAATATAAAGAGTTTTATTAAGAATCTCACTTAACAGTTGCGTAAAAAAAGTCAAGCGATTTTTTGCGTCTAACCTAAAGTAAACCACACACCAATAAGCACACAAACTATTTAAAATTAATTATGGCAGATTTTACTGAATCGCAAAAAAAATATATGAAAGAACTTTTTCAAAATATTACTACTAATTTTGAACAAAAAACTGAAGACGTAAAGAAAACCCTTAAGAGCGAATTTACAAAGTTTAAAGAAGAAATTAATGTTAAAATAAAAAACTACGAAGATAAGATCGAACAACTAGAAACCGACAACACTACACTAAAAAGACAAGTTTTAACATTAGAAAGAAAAAGCCGAAAAAATAACATAGTAATATTTGGTCTTAACACTGTGACTCCAACAAATATTATTGAGGAAGTTTTAAAACTTTTTAAGGAAACGTTGCTAGTCCCAATATCTGAACAAGACTTAAGTCATATTTACACCATTGGAAAATCTGCAGAGAAGCCAATTGTAGTAGAATTTATTTCATTTTATAAAAAACTTGCGGTAATAAAAAACTGTTATAAACTAAAAAATACAAATATTGCCATAAGCCAAGATCAGTGTCCCGAAGATCAGGAAAATACAAAAATTCTGCGAAAATATAAGAAAGAAGCTGAAGAAAAGGGAGAAAAGGCCACTATAAAATTCAACAGCCTCAAAATTGAAGATAAGGTTTACTCTATTAGGGAACTACAAGCAAAAAAAGACACAAACAGAGAAGATACACAAACTTCAACAAACTTCAAGCGCAACATCGTCGAGGTTGAATCTGGGGAGGAAACTGAGGTACCGGAAATTAAAAAAAACAAAGTGGCTACAAAAGTCAACAAAGAAGCCGAAAAATCTCGAATGTTAAGGTCCTCAACTGTTACTAAATAGTGTACTTTACTGTTTGTTTAAACATTAAATTTTTTGTTACTGTCTAATTAATTCTCATTACATTGTTTCATAATATTATAATATATCTTTACTAAAATTGAAAATCTGTTTATTAAAAAAAATTGTGATTCTTATTTACTTTGTGTCATTTAACGAATAATTTAAAAATATTAAAATAATGAAAAACTGTAATTTATCTATTTGCCATCTTAATATTAGATCAATAATTCCAAAACTTCAGGATTTAAAATTTCTTATTGAGAGCGGGGGGTTTGCTTTCTTTGCACTATCAGAAACTTGGCTAAATTCAACAATAGATAATGAAGTTCTTAAGATTAAAGGCTATGATTTTGTTAGATGCGATAGGGAAGGCCGTGGGGGAGGAATAATTTTGTATTATAAAAATTGTCTGAAGATTAATGTTATTAGCCATAATAAGAGTAACTGGTTTGAAAGTATATGGGTATCGGTGAGTATAAATGGACTAAAATATGTTGTAGGTGTTATTTACAGACCCCCAGGTTTTAATAATTTTTCCGAATTCTTGGATGAATTTGATGACATAATATGTAAGCTTCTAATTGAGTGTGACAGTTTTTTTTCTGTGGGTGATTTTAATATCAATTGCCTTGATATGACTAATAAAAATGTCTCTAATTTTTTAAGTGTTTTAGAATCATATAGCCTTAAACAAATTATTGAAGAACCAACACGGATAACTGCTACTTGCTCAACCCTAATCGACCTTATAATTACATCTAAAAACAGTAATATTGTATCAAGCAAAGTAAATAATGATATAGACCTATCTGATCATTCTTCTGTTGAATGCAGTTTCAATGTTTTATGTATTAAAAATGAGCCAAAGTTTTACACCTTTAGGGATTTTAAAAATTTTAATATTGAAGAATTTTATGTAAGTTTGTGCCGATTTTCTTTTAATGAAGTTTTTAATGAGCTTGATGTTAATAATAAACTAACTATTTTAAATAATATTTTACTTTCTTTGTTTGATCACTACGCGCCAGTGCGTACTGTCAGAGTAACAAAAAAAAGGGCTCCCTGGTTAACTGATAATCTTAGGTTAATATTTAGACTTCGTAATAAAGCATTACAAAAATTCAAAAAAACTAAAACACCTAATAATTGGGATAATTATAAAATGCTTAGGAATTATGCTAATAAATTAATTAAAAATGAGAAAAGAGCACACATTAATTCTGTTTTTACTTCTAATAATAGTAAACAAAACTGGAAGATCTTAAAAGATTTAAATGTAACTTCCAAATCCTTACCTGAAATACCTTCCAACCTAAATAATGAAATAGATATAAATAATTACTTTGCTTCTATAATTCAGACCGAACAAGAACCTGATTCAATTAAGTATAATTTTTACAATAATAACGAAATTACTGGTGTTTCTTCATTTCATTTTTCTACTGTAAGTGAAAATGAAGTACATAAATGTCTCCTCTCTATTAAGTCCAAAGCTGTGGGTAGTGATGGAATAAGTATAGGTATGTTATTGTTTTGCTGTCCCTTTATTATTCCAGTTTTGACACATATAATAAACTACTGTATAGAAACTAGCAGCTTTCCAAAAGGTTGGAAATTGTCTTATATAACTCCTATTCCAAAAGTCAGATGCCCAACTGAATTAAAAGATCTTAGGCCTATTAGTATCCTACCAACAATGTCAAAGATTTTAGAAAAACTTATATACCAACAAATAAGAAATCATTTGGATACTTTTAACATTTTACCACCCATTCAATCAGGTTTTAGATCTAGATACAGTTGTACAACAGCACTTTTAAAAGTAACTGATGATATATTACAAGACCTTGATTCAAATAATATGGCAGCTCTCATTTTGTTGGATTATTCCAAAGCTTTCGACTTAATTAACCATAAATTATTACTTGCAATTTTAAAATTTATTGGCTTTGGTTATACTTCAGTAATTTTTTTAAAGATGTATTTGAGTGACAGGCAGCAATGCGTCAGGATAAAAAATAATATTTCGACTCCTGTTGAAATCAAATGTGGAGTACCGCAAGGCTCGATCTTAGGTCCCCTTCTGTTTGCTATATACACATCACAATTAGTAAAATGCATTAAAAACTGCAATTTTCACTTGTATGCCGATGACACACAATTGTATTTTCCTTTTAAGTGTGAAGACTTATGTGAAATTACAGGAATAATAAATAAAGATCTTGAAAATTTAAGTTTGGAGTCGTCAGCACACTCTCTCCAAATAAATCCCCAAAAGTCTAAAGTTATAGTTTTTAGCAAACGAGGAAATGTACCCAGTATTAGCTTAACTATTAATGGGCAGAAAATTGAGCAGGTTAATAAGGCAAAAAACCTTGGTGTTATTTTTGACTCAAATCTTAGGTTTTCTGAACATGTTTCAAATTGCGTCAAAAAGGCTTTTTATAACTTAAAAAATATATACTCACAAAGACATTTATTAAATACTAATATTAAAAAACTTGTATGCGATTCAATGGTACTTTCGCATTTTAACTACTGTGATGCCCTTTATGGTTTTTGTCTTACAAAAATTGATGAAAGACGAATACAAAGACTACAAAACTCGTGTGTTCGCTTAATATGTGGTGTAAGAAGGAGACTTTCAGTAAAAAGCAAATTTTGTGAAATAGGCTGGTTAAACATGTCAGAGAGAAGACTGTTACACTCTCTTGTATTATTCAATAACGTTGTCACTTATAAATGCCCACCATACTTGTATAACAAAATAAAATTTCGAACTGATGTTCACACTTTAAATATTAGAAACAGACTTAACTTAACGATACCTCGTCATAAATCAGCTATTTTTCAAAGGAGTTACTCATACAATATTGCCAAATGGTACAATTTGCTTCCTGATAGTGTAAAGAATAGTAAATCTACAGCTTTTAAGAAAAATGTTAAAAAAATGTTATTGGATGGCTTCCTAAATTATAATTAATTTTTGGTCTGTTTTGTTCACTTATTTTCTATAAATTACCAAAATTGTCTCACTTTTATGCATGTACATAGGTATATGTGTTTTTTTTTGTTTTATTTTTTTTATATAAATTTAAATATTCATTTGCTAAAATAAGTATGTATCTTAACGGTTAAGTGGAAGAACAGATGTTTTCTTTTAAACACGCTGAACTTCGCCGTTTGAAAATGTAAAATGTTTCAATAAAGACTTATATTATTATTATTATTATACAGGGTGTCTCCAAATAAGCTGTCATCCTTTAAGGGGATGATACACGCCAATATAAAAAAGTTTTTCCTCCATCATTTTTTAAATAAAAAAATCATTAAAATTTTTATAGGTAAAGTAGAAATTTTGGGCCGTCACTGGTTGACGCAAAATATGCTTGCACAGTGGGCAATAATCTACATTCATCGAAAATTTACATTTGTATTAGGGTAAACTACATAGTTATTGGACACTTATAGGAATATTATTTATTTAAAATTTATTTATGCCGTTGTTTTAAAGATTTTAGTATTTTTCTTATAAATATATTAAAAGGATAGTTTGTTTGTTTAAACTTTATTTACGTTTTCTTAAAAATAAGAATATTTGAATTTTTAATATTAGTTTTATAAAAACATGCAAAAAAGTATAGTAATTGTACACATAGACCATGGTTATTGGACATACAATTTTTATATAAACATAACAACTTTACATCAAATAACATAAATTGTTAAATATTTTTTAAAGATAAATAAAGAATAATTTTTTTATATTACTTACTCTCTAAAAATGAATTAATCAAAAATGTCATAGCGAAAAAGCAGTCACTAATAATTCTCGTCAACAGCAATTTGTATCCAGGACATTTAGCAGTCAATTCCTATGAAATATTATTCGCTGAATCCGACAATGTCGTCAAAAGTTATAAAAGTAGAACAGTTTTTGAAATATAATCAATTATACATTTAATATGGAATTGACTATATCTCAAAAACTGCTTAACTTTTATAGTTTTTGACGGTCATTTCGGATTCAGGGAACAATTTTACATAAGAATTGGCTGGTAAATGTCCGGGATACAAATAGAGTATGATATTGGACGTATGTCCAATAATGGAAATATTCATTTTTTACCAACCAGTAATTGGACACTGGCCATTTTACTGTTAAGTTAAAATTAAAACGCATTAAAGTGACCATGTTTAAATTATGAGGAACACATTTATACCACACACTGATCTGTACACTTTTTAGAAATATTTTTTATTGTAAATTAAACACAGCCCTGCTCTTAACAAAAAAACAAAAATCTTGCCATATTGGACTCAAAATAAAGTAGTTCTATATTATTACCGACTGAGATAGTTATAATTGTATACAGCGTCATCTAATGATTTGACTTTAAGGTAACTATTTATAGAACTCTTGTTTTTACAATATTAATGTTAATTGTCCAATAACTATAAATTGTCCGATAACTGTCTACTTTACCCTATCATTGATTACTGTTGATAATTGTTTTTTGTTTTGCATACTCAGCTACTTTTAGGTTTCTTTTTTGCTTGGATGAATAATATCCTTGTTTTTAGAGGTAAAAATAATGATGATATTTAGGAAGGTTATATGTATTTTATTTTTTATCTCGAAAAAAGTATTATAAATAAGTTAAAATCAATTAGGAATACAAAAATAAAACAAAATAAAAATAATAAACCCATTCATAAAAGAAAGACCAATAAGCCCATGTAGGTAGTAATTTTAATTACCATTTTATTTTCCAAAGCTCTTTCTTTTATTCATTATTATTATTTTTAAGATAGCTTTTCCACAATAAAATAGCTAGTAAAATAAACGATTTAAAAGCACTTTGAGTGAACGTAATTCCGACAAATATAATGTTTTATTGATATTTTTATGGGTAACACATAACATAGACATTTAAAAAGATGTGAGCAAATGACTGGCCGATAAAAAATGTATGTGCAAGAATGTTATATAGAGGGCGTCTCAAAAATGTCGTACTAACAAAACAAAAAAAGCATTTTCTGACATTTGTGTAAAAAAATATAAATTTTAAATTATCATCTAACTTATTAATTAATTAATAATTATTAATAGTTATTAATTTCGTAAATAATGATTATTATAAATAAGGCACATTTTCTAACTATTAAATCTATGCTGTTTGTAAGAAATATGATATATTAATAATTAACAAATGGAATATTGTAACTTTAAAATGCCACGTAGTGGGTGGTTTACATCTTTGCTGATGAAAGGTTAATAAGTCCTTTATTTAACTTCATATTTTATTTCAGGTATTCGTTGTTCAACACGTGGACGTATGCATGTTCTCGAACGGAAAATTCAAAAACGTTGTAGCAGTGTGGAACGCGAAAGATAATTTTCCGGTGCAATCCGGTGGAAAATTCGACAAAACTTTTACTCTTTTACCGGTAAGGCATGCCGGAAATTTAAATGTAACTTTCACGAGATTAAAAATAATATTACAGGTGAAAAGTTCAACTAAAAATTGGATAGCGCTTGAGGATTCTTACACCAAATCAGGAACCAGTTTGGCTTCCACTGTTACCACAACAGCACATAACCCAGACGACAGGTAAAATATTAATAATAATAACACGGTTCAATACAATTTTCCTCCCATGAAAATTTTGAATAATAAAAATATGGGTGAATATTAGGGTGTTTCAAAAAAAATTAAAATAGTTTTTTTTTCTAATGGTGTTGAAATATCACGTAGTGGGTGGTTTACATCTTTGCTGATGAAAGGTTAATAAATGCTTTATTTAACTTCATATTTTATTTCAGGTATTCGTTGTTCAACACGTGGACGTATGCATGTTCTCGAACGGAAAATTCAAAAACGTTGTAGCAGTGTGGAACGCGAAAGATAATTTTCCGGTGCAATCCGGCGGAAAATTCGACAAAACTTTTACTCTTTTACCGGTAAGGCATGCCGGAAATTTAAATGTAACCTTCACGGGATTAAAAACGTTATTATTACAGGTGAAAAGTTCAACTAAAAATTGGATAGCGCTTGAGGACTCGTACACCAAATCAGGAACCAGTTTGGCTTCCACTGTTACCACAACAGCACATAACCCGGACGACAGGTAAAATATTAATAATAATAACACGGTTCAACACAATTTTCCTCCCATGAAAATTTGTAATAATATATAATATACGGGTGAATCTCACGAAATGTCCCCCGATGGTGTTACCCCGTGATATTTAATAAAACTAAATGAGTTTGACCTACACTTTTATTGTGTTTTGATCTTTCATAATTAAGTAGATATTACAGCTCAGCTTCCACATTCACGGTGCGGTTGAAGCCACTTTAAATGTGGGGGTCAGGTGACATTGGATTTTATTGTTGCATTTCATTCTAAGGACCTTTAAAAAACATTTACAAGAAAAATTTAAATCATCCTTAGAGCCGTTTTTTTTTAAATTAATTTAAAGTTAATTTTTCAAGTAATTTTTGAAAGCCGTTTATTTTTTAATGAAATGATATTTGAAATACAAAAAATGTTTATTAATTAGTTTTGAACCTCGTCTTAATACGTTTTTATAATAGTTACAACTAACATTAAGTTTATCTTTGAACAGTTTGGTAGCATAAAATAGTGAAAAACTATTATAAATAAATATTATAAAAATTAAATATGCTGACTATTGTACTCTTGCACAGCCAGTAATAATTTCATAGAAAAGTTTTTATTACTTTTTTGTACTTTAAACTTTTGCATGTACTGATTCCATTGATTGTTCACTATAAAATCCAAGCCCTTGTTGTTTCTTATTGCAAAAATATGGCATGTACCTTTGGAGTAATACTAAGAAACTTTTATGAAACTTTTTAATACAATCGTTGAATTTAGGATCAAGTTCAAGCGAAAAACAAGAATTAACGACGTCGCAAAAGTCTTGAAAACATTGTACGTATTTTAAACAGCCTGATCGCAAAATATCAACTTTATCTAAAAGGGTTTTAGAAGCATTTCCTGCAAAAGATGGGCTACCATTATAAATGTCTTGAGAAACGTTGCACTTCTTGGCCCAATCTAGACTTTCTTTTTCAAATTCAATTGACATATTCTTAAATAGATCCCGAGTCAAAATTAAGATCGTAATTTAAACCTTAAGTCTGACAATTTCCGTCTTAAACGGTTTTATATTCGCCTAAAGATAACCAACTTATGACCTAAAACATGGCAGATAAGTCCATTTTCCCGATTTTTCGGTTCTAATTACGTTTAAATTTAAACCAAAAATTTTATTAGAGGTTTAAATCGGTTTAAATCGGTTCAAATGAAGATTAATTCGGTTGTTCTAGTGCTAAATTGGAGTAAACAGACTGAACAGGTTTTAAATCAGTTTTGGTAGGTCAAAGTAGGTTTAAATTATGATTTAAATTTTGACTCGGGATGATTCACTACGCCTATCATTAGTTGCAGTTCGGGGGGAGGAATGATTTCTATAACTTCTTTGTCATTCTCTAAAGAAAAAATTAGAGGGTGAACACAATTTTTATATAGTTTTGCATCAGAATTCTTTTTTCCAGACATCCAGACAGCTTTGTAGTTTTTCAAAATCTCCGCGACAGTTCTATATATCCCGCATAAGTTGAGATTGCTTTTTTCTACATTGCACCAAGTACAAGGAAAAGAACTTGCATGGCCCATCAAACCTGCTAAAATATTTGCAAGTTTTAAATCTTTGGATATCGTTATATCTCTTAAATCTCTGATATTTAAAAAAGACCATAGCACCTCAACATTTTCAAAATTTTCACGAATGTTGTCCGGGAATAATTCGGTAATTTTAAAGATTCTTCAGTACTTTCGCACTTATTTAGTTCATAAACTTTGAATCGACATGCTGTACAAATTACACTCGGTAAACGATTATCATTACTGTTATAAGAAGCAACGCTTGATATTTTTTCTAAAAGCTTCCCGTTTATTTGCACCAAGTTACTCTTTTTCTTTAAACATATTAAACACAATTTTTACGATTTTCAGAATGAGTTAGTGCATGATCTTTAGGTAACGACATTTTAATACAAAAGCACAGACAAGAAGAGTAAAATAAAGAGCCTCGTTTGAAAGATTACAAACAATTGACTGTTTGTTGTTAATACAAATGTTTAGTTGCTAAGATACTATTCATTTGTTTTTTCGTTTGTTTATTTGTTTGTTCTTTATTAAAGAAAAAGTTTTTGCTTTAAAAAAAAGTATAGTAGATGCAACGAATAATTTTATATGACTTATTGCACGTTGTCGCAAAAAGTAAACAGACATACGCGTGTGTGTAGTTGCTGATACATAGAATGTAAAAGTCGCGTACAACATTACTGCTTGCATATCTATGATATCGTCAGCATGCAATCAGTGCAAACATTCGCCGCATCTACTATACTATTTTTAAAGCATGGAATCTAAAATATATTTAGTTCCTAGATTTTAAAAACCTATTTAATTTATGCTTATTTATGTATATAACGCAAATGTACAAAAATATAAATTTTTATAGAACAAATATATCAAAACTTATTAATTAGCATTTTTTTGTATTTCAAATATCATTTAAATCGAAAATAACGGCTTTTTAAAAAAATAACCTAAAATTCGATTTAAAAAAAACCGGCTCTAAGGATGTTTTAAATTTTTCTTAAAAATGTATTTTGAAGGTCTTTAGAATGAAATAAAAAAATAAAATCCAATGTCACCGGACACTCTCATTTAAAGTTGGTTCAACCGCACCGTGCATTTTTAACCGCAATTAATTATTTTTTATATACAACAACCTATCATCCGTGACTGTTACTCTTTCTAGGTTAACCTATATGTTTTTAAATATCTGAGGTAGTAAAAGCATACTACAAATATCAGTTCACTAAGTAAATTAAACACATTCAAAGCAATCGAATCAAATATAAAATATTATTAAAAATAAGAAATAATTTTTATAACCATTTATGTAGGTGTTACAAAAATTGATTCTATCCTCCGTGAATCTGTTTTAGCTTTAAATTTTATGCAACGGATGGCGCTTTAATCATTTTAAATAAGCAATGCATGTGATTCCTGAAGGTCAGTTAGAATTTATATGCAGATGAGAGTGTTGCTGTTTTATAATTCAAAAGTTTAAGTTCATTAATTTGCTATTTAAAAACCCGTAAAAACCTCGTAAAAACCTATCCACTGTGAAGTGTAATATCTCAGTAAGTAGATTTTTTTTATAAATATTTTATGTTTGTACAATTGTATTTCTAAAAAATATTAAGGTGTCAAAAGATCATTTTCACTTGGGGGACATCTCAATATATTCACCTATATATAATAATATATATATATATATATATATATATATATATATATAGGGTGTTTTGTTTAAAATAACAAAGATGATGTGAAATTGCAATTTGTTTAAAAAAATTTTGAAAAATATTCTTAATTGGATTATAAACGCTTTAAAAATTTCAAATCGATATCTTTTGCCCTTCCTCAGAAACTTTCAATGGAGCACGAACGTGAAACACCCGTATTTCGTAAATGTGCAACACCCTGTATATAATTAAAATAATTTTAAAATAAATAAATAATTTTAACGGTCGTCTATTTATTAAGTGAATATATTTTTCTTAAAAATATACAGTCTATAGCTGTTATACGAGGTGTGTTTAGGAAATATCGGGAATTGTTAAATTTCGCAGGTTCGGAGGGTCCGGTTGTCATAAAATTTTCTTTATTATGTTGGTATACATGCCCCCGAAGTATGATAAAAACTTTAGCTGTTTTCATTGTTTACTTTGTCTGTGGCAGCCGCTAAGGTTAGACGTGTTTTATGAGCTCGGCAATTTTTCGTTCGTTAAAAGAAATGGATCAAAGAATTTGTATCCAAATTTGCTTAAAAAATTAAATAAATTCTGTGAAATGTTAACAAAGGCCTATAGTGAGACTCACTAAGTGAGTCTGCTATAAGTAAAACAAGAGTTTAGAAGTGGTATAAGAGTTTCCAAGATGGCCGTGAAGACGTTGAAGATGATCAACGCCCCGAACGCACAAGCACATTAACAACCGATAAAAACATGGAAAAAGTGGAAGAAATGGTTATAAACCATCAGAGAAGTCGCTGATGATGTTGGTATATCGATTGGCTCATCCCATGAAATTTTTTCGAATGTTTTGCGTGGTAGCAAAATTTGTTTTAAAATTGTTAAATTTTGAACAACATTTTTGGCAAAAAACAATATTGTAATGATGCACCAGCCTCCATATTCGCCAGACATGCCTCTGTCTGACTTTTTCCTATTCCCAAAAATAAAGAGAACCTTAAAGGGCCGTCGTTTTGCAAGCATAGATGACATTAAAAGCGCATCGCTGAAAGAACTAAAGGCTATCCCAAAGATCGAGTTTTAGAAGTGTTTCGAGTATTGGAAGAAGAGCTGGCACATGTGCATAATATCCAATGGGGACTGTTTTGAAGTCGACAACATTAATGTAGACGAATAAATAAATATTTGTTTCAAAAAACGAAAATTCCCGATATTTTCTGAACACACCTCGTATTGTTAAATGACATGATCTTATAAAACGCCGAGACACGGGTAACATTTTTTTAAGTCTATTTTCAAAATCTATATAAATTTTTCATGGGATGAGCAATTTAGTTAATGGAAAAACTCAATGTTAAAATTTAAATGTTAGTTTAAAAAACAAAATAAATATTGATGAAATTTTATAATGCTCTATTCAGCATGTAACAATTTTGTATTTTCAAAATTACAACCACAATAAAATCGTATTTTGTTGAAATAGGTATGAAAATAAAAGTTTCATAAAAAATGATTTAACAAAGCACTGTTTACTGTTTTAGAATTAAATTAAAATGAAATAGCATTTTTTGTTTTATCTTTATACAGCGTTTTCGTTGTAAAATACAATTATTTTATTATTTATTATAGATTACATCGGTCTAAAATAAATCATCTAAATCCGATCACATCCAGAAACGGTCATGTGTACGTAAATCAAAAACCCTTGTATTTATAAAAACATGTGTACAATTAAACGTTTTTTGTAAGGGGTAAATGAATTTTGTTTGTTTGTTTGTTTGTTAGTATTTTAAACTTTATACTATCCCAAGCAGCATTTTAAGTAAAAGCGTAGAGCTTTGAGACAATATTACTTAATTTAAGAAAATATTTTGTTAAATTAACCTTAAAAAATTACTTTGAAGTAAACTTTTTTTAAAGTTATTTAATAAGTTTTATTTATGTTATTTTTACCTATTTTATTAACCCTTGAGTTTCAACACTTAAAAGTATTATGAGGGACGTCATTTTTACGAAAGAAAATTACTTATAAGTGTATTTCACCTAAAGGAAAATTTAACGGTAATTTTAACGTCAGAATTTTTACTTAATGGTAAATGTTACTCATAAGTCATAATTTTACGAAATTAAGACCACTTTATAACCGTAAATAATTTCTATTCGCCTGGTATTTCTTAGGGTTATTAGTGGTAATAAATACTATTAATATTGACTAAACAAGGAAAAATAAGCTTTTTTTAGGTCGCCATAATGAGTTTTTTAAGATGGCATTCATTATTTATCTAAACATTTGTATAATATTTGTTCATAAATAATAATAATAAGGGAAGTTTTATTTATTAAAAAATGATTTTTGAGTTTTTAAAATTTTGTAGGTTTTAAGTTTTGTTGAATTTTTACCCAAGCAATAATTTTTCTTAAAACCGTAAAATATTTAGAGGGCATATAATTTTTAAGATGTATCGTGTCTATTTTTATCAATAAAATAATGTGCCTTTGAGTTTTAATGCAAAATATTATTAGTTTTGAAAATTTAAGTTATATTTTTTAATTTTACTTTATAGGGTGGCCTTTATTACTTTGTAGTACCATTTTAATTAAAAGAACAAAGAAATTAGGAATGTGAATGTTTTAGAAAGGGAGAGCAAATAGTTGGTAATTATAGCGTTATTTTTACGTAAATTTAGTAGATCAAAAAGGTTATTATATAGGTAAAAAAACGAAATAAACCATTCCCCAAATTTGGTAATTTTTCGTATCTATACCGTTTTTGGTTAACCGTAAAAAATACTTTAAAGCAGTAAATTTGTAGTTATTTAAACTCAAAATGCTGCTTGGGATACTTAAAATAGGTATAGTATATCAACTAACCTAATACGCTTTCGACATTTTAATTAAAAAGCATAATTTATTTACCATAAACAAACTCCCATTTTGGTGTTAATTAAAGTTGTAATCCTTTAAAATTTATAGTTTAAATTATACTATTTGACAAACAAGTTTATGATTTTTATTTCTATTTTTAGTGAAGAGAGTTTTTTCAAGCCACCTCATACTTTGAGACGCCGATTTTTGATTTATAAATAGCAATCCTTGTATGTTATTCATAAAGCCTTTTTTGCAAAAATTAAATCAAATTTAAACCAAATTTTGCTAAATAGTATAATTTAGGCATTTACCTCATGTTTTAGAAATATTTTTGTACAAGGTAGTTCAAATTTTCAAAATTTACAAAACTACTTTTGGGTATTTCCACAAAACCTTACTCCACGTTGACAAAAAAATAAGATGTGTTATTTAACAAAATAACAACTATATCTGAAGTCAAATAGTTTCATTGCGACGTAATTTATAACCTTAACCCTGATAGCACAGTTTATTCTAAGAATGTTTTTAAACCTTCCAGTGGGAATATTCTTAGGATCATGCTATATTTCTTCTAGTCATGTTCTAAGAATGTTTTTTAAACCTTCCAGTGAGAATATTCTTAGGATCATGCTATATTTCTTCTAAATAACATGCTTAAAAGAAATATAGCATAATCCTAAGAATATTCTCACTGGCCTGTAGGCAGGTTCTTAGAAGGTGCAAAGTTTAGTGGTAAAAATTAATCCACTCTAAACATATGCTTAGAATGTTGAGAAAGTAATTGCTATAGAAAGTTCATTTAGAAATATTCCTGGAACATTCTGTTAAGCATATTCAGTTCAGTTAGGTACCTATATAATAGTAAAATATACCATAATCTACGTATAAAGGTACCTATACTTAGTATTAAATACTAAGTAAAAAACACAACCCAAAGTATTTTTTTATAGTTATTTGTCAAATTAAAACAATATTCGATAACAAAAATACTTTTACTTTAAGTATATAAATTATCCGGCTTTTACATAAAATCTTCTATCCAACTTAAATGCAATGAAAAATGTTTTTTTATGAAGAACTATTTGGTTTTTTCTTTTATGAAGAATTATTTTATAAGGAAATATTTTGTTGTTTTATATTTTATTTTATGTTAAAAACAAATATTTATTAATTTGTATACCGATTTTTTTTTATCTTCAACTTCAATCTAATCTGACTTATCCCACAAAATTTTCCAATTTTACTTTTTATGAAATAATGTCATACAACTTATGGTTCAGAGGTTAAATTGTTTATTTAATATTTTTAAATAAATATATATTAATATGTCGCAAATTTTTTTAAGGGGACGACAAATACATTTCACTGTCATATTATGACAGTGGGGCGTATTTGTCGCCTCCTGAATAATTTTACGAATGTAGAATCCAACATATTAGAACGTGGGTATCTGACATATTTGGAAATATTCTCAAAAGCTTCCTAGAAGCTCCATAAGAAACCTTCTAAGAACATTCCAAAACCGTATTCTTAAAATGTTCTTAGATTGCTTTTTAGGAAGGTTTTAAGAAGCTTCTAAGAATCTAATTGCACCATTAAAAGGGTATCTATTAAATGTTTTAAAAGTCCCTAAGAACATTCTTAGCAATAAGGGAAGGCTCTAAGAATATTCCATAATTCCGGGTCATATCTTCTTAGAAGATTTTTAGAATCAAATTTTGCTATCAGGGACGCTATTCATGACGTTATAAAAGTTTTTATTGACATTTTGTTTGAGTTAAATACCTAATTTTTAAGATATTATCTTGATATATATGAACAAAAACTTTATTATCATGAAAAAACGCAGTTTTAGTGTCGCACCCGTTACAATGGAAATACCCTTTTGTAGTTTTTTAATTTTTTAATAATCATCAAATTTTTTTGAAATTTTTATATTTGTAATCAAACTTTTATTATTGTATTTAATATCTTTCGTTTTTCCCACTTAATTATTTGCATGTGGAACAAAACTGTTTGTAACATTCGAACCTGGTTCGCACGTGACGTCAGATACGAGGAGTCGACGAGTTTGCGTTTCATAATCAGCTCACCGGTTTTTGTGTATCTTGATTCCTACTATAAATCCTTGGTGCCCCCCCAGAAAAATTTTTCCAATGAAAAAATACCGACAAAGCAACATGTTTCAGGAACGTTTTCGCAATCTACGTCTCCTACTACGTGAAAGTGAAGCTGTTGGTGAGCGTTATGGGTGGTGAGCTGAGTTTGAAGCTGCCCTTCACGTTGATGCACACGTGCAGCGAGTTCGAACATTCGGAGCCTATCATAAGGCTAGAACGCCCGAACTCCATTCGGCTTGAAGACGGCGCAACCGATCGTCGCACCCCTTCGCCCAAGCAGGACAAGGATGGCACGTGAGATCAGCAAAAGGTAAATTTAAACATACATTACACTGTTCAAAATTTTATGACCATTTTAACACCATACATGGTCTATATCGATACAAACCAAAATGGTGTTAAATATGGTTCGTTGGTCCGGTGTAAATTCACCTTCAACTCGCTAGAGATAATGTTCCACCAACTTAAAATACTTCAAGTATTGACAGCTGTTTCCACCTACTTAAGGTCTCTTTAGTATCGAACAACTTGTAGTGTCACACCAAAGCAAAGGACTACCTGAGCTTATATACTTTTCATGTAAGTCAACAGAGGCGAGATTTAAGAACATCACGTGATCCACACCGCCTTTGCCGCGATCGGTACACACTATGCAACAAGGAATGCACGGCAAATTGTTTTAATCGTTTTAACAGAGTGCTTTAGGTTGAAGTAACTCTTATTTTACAAACAACATATTTAGTAAACTGAACCATACAGCGAGTTGGTTTCACTAAAGTTTTCTGGGTTAATTTAACCAATTTAAAAAAAATAAAATAACTATCTGGTTTAGTACCGTCAAACTAATCTTTGTTTATATTAACCTTCCCACAGTTGATTTAAACAAATACTTATGGGTCAACTGAATTAATATAGTTAAATGAACTATTTCTTTTTTTCTGTGTAGGTGCACTTCTCAAATATTCTTAGATAAACACCGTTTTGGTGTTTGCTGTATATAACATTTTCAACCATAATTCATGGTGTTTTTATTAACACCACTTGGTGTTGGATTTTGACATCATTTTAGGATTACTCTTTACACCACAGATATTTTAAACAGTGTACTTTTCGCTAAATCTACCATATTTATACCAATTACGAACACAGTTTACTAAACCGTGGACCGTAACCTCTTCAGTAAAGAGAAACTAACAAACTAATTTAACAAACTAGAGTTTAGTACCGGTCCGTTATCGCTATTTAAAGATTTATTTCTATTCCTATACGCTAAAGAAGTATCGCTAGTAGCGCCACCACTCGGCTGTTAACATCGTACCAAAAGTACAACTTTTGATAATGTTTTTGAGAATAAATCCGGAAAATGTTGGGTGAATTTCGAGAGGAAACCCTGGGTTGAGTTTTTATCGGTTTTCCAATAAACAGTGTTAATCCGAATGCAGAAATAAATTTCATCCACTCCCTGTAAATATAAATTGTATCCATTAGATACAATAAATACACATTTTAGTAATGATTAACGTAAAAAGTGTAAACATTTCAATTCAGTTATAATCGTCAAATAAATAAGTCGTCTAAATTTAAACAGCATTTAGTATTATTAAAAGCGTTGATTAAGAAAGTCTCCACTCGGTAAAATACCATTATATTATGTATTATATATAATACTATGTTGCCATGAATTCGTAGGTATATTTTGTTGTTTAAAATGCAGTTGTCGGCGTTTTTTAGAGAACTCAAATATAAAAATGGTTGATTTTAAGGTTATGTTTGTGCAAAAATTATTATTTACTAATTTCTTAAAAATGTTCAAACTTAAATATAAATTATATAATTTTAAAGTTATCATTACTTAATTCTGCACCAACAAATGTAATTACCGAATTAGATCCTTTGGCAAAACATGAAAATGCAACGATTTAGTTCTTGAATTTTATTTACAATTAAAAACACAATATTTCACCATGATCCCTTAGATAACATACACGCACTAACGTAACTATACAAGCATTTATGCGTTGAGTTTCTTAAACAATGATATAAAGAATAATCAATCGAAATCGAGTACTAAACCAGTTTTTTTATTTTTTCCTTGCAACGTAAAACACAAATACCGTGCGCGATTTAGCTGAGCAATTGAACAAAATTTGTCGAGTAAGACTCTCTTTTGTAAAAAAACTACCTATTTATTTAAACATGATGTACAGTTCGTATGCTTTAAATGTATTGTTGACAATTCTTAAATTCACGCAATGCTTTTGAAGTCCGCCAGATGGCGCGCGCGTTGCGAAAACCCGATACTTCTTTAGCCTATAGATGTATTATAAACTTTCATAACTATCTATAGCAGACTTGCTTCTCTAACTTCCTTAATAAGTTTAAGGTTGTTAAATCCTTTTCTACGACCATCATCAAGTATATGTTGGGAAACACTCGATTTCTCTCTCCTTCCAAATCTAGCATGGTCCAAGTGCAACAGTTACCACACAGCTTATTGTCTTTATAAACGAATATGATTCTAACTAAGCTTCCTCTTCTTGTCTTTATGAAACTTAACAATCCTGGTATACAGAATGTTTTTTTGCTCAAAATAGTGAAATTTTCCAAAAAATGGCTTAAAATATTAAAAGGCATTAAACCAAATTTGATTTACAAGTTATAAATCATAAAGGAATGCAAATCAAATGTTTGTTTAAAATTTTAAGATTAAAAAAAAGTTATGCGATGGCCGGGAATCGAACCCGGATCAACTGCTTGGAAGGCAACTATGCTGACCATTACACCACCATCGCACTATAAGAAGATTAGCAATTGCAGTCGAGAGATGCAGTTAAGAAAGATGCTGTACATTTACGAGTAAAACCTTTTTATTCTTGGGATATTACTTTTATTATCGTTTAAAGGATATAGTTCAAATACAATTTTATACAATTTCCTCGCAATCCTTATTTAGTTTTCAATTCAATTCAATTTTAAATTCAATAAAACATGTAATTTGTGGTAATGTGTGTGTGGTTTATCAATTTATATGTTGTGGTGTTGTTACATTAATAGAAGTTATAACTATACAGGATTTATGAAAATACATATTATTAAAATAAACTTATTATAATATGTTTATATTATGTTTTACATAAAAAGAACAATTTAATATTACCTATCAAAGCAATGATGATTAAAGTTATAGTTTTTTGACACAAACTTTCAGAAAATACATAATATATGGGTGGTTTTCAGTATCTTTTAAGATTCTGATTTAATTTTGAAAAAAATATTGTTCATTTAGTTTAAGTGACTTTTTTCTTTTAGGTAGGTAACTTGGTCAACTATGCCAGAATGATGAAAAAAGTGCTTTATGTTCATAAAAATTACAAGGGTTTTAAATAAAAAATAAACAAATTTTTAACATGACCGTCGCATACTTTTTTTTCATGTGGTTTCAAACTTTTTTATTTGCTCAAATTAAAAGTATCCCCATGCTGTAAATTTTAGGTTAGACCGACAACAAAAAACATTTATAGCAATTTATAACTATTTATGTTGCTATAGACGGTCATGTTAATAAAAAAAATACGAAGAACTTTAACTTACCTTTTCTATATCATAATACACTACATGAACTGTAAATATATTGCTAATTGAACTGCACAATCACAATAATAAAATATATACAACGTTCAGTTATTATTTTTAGCCTAAACATTAACAATAATGGCTATTTAAGACAATTTTATAACACAAAAAAACAACATTTGTTCAATATAATTTTCTTTGGCCACTTAAAAGTTGAATTAAATTTTTAGAAGATCGCAAATGTTGGATTTTGCTCGAGGGACATGAGACGGTCATGTGAAACAGGAGTTTTAAAACCAAAATTAAAAAATAAATTCATAGGATATTGAACTTTTGGTATTATAATATAAATCGATAAAAAATATGTATGTCTAGTAAAATGATGGGTAATATAAAGGTTTTAGTTTTAATACCACAGGGACTGAAAAACACAATAATTTCGGAAAAAATCTAAAGAGAAATCGTAGTAAAACACCAGTGCATATCGTACCTGGGTGAATATATTGAAATGTCCCCCAAGTGAAAATGATTATTTTTTATTTTTGGTTGTTTCACTGTTAGTCTAGAATGGGGTTTTTGGAAAGCCACCACATAAGTGGTTCTGCACTAATGCAAGAATTTTAAGAAATCATACATTTTGAATATTAGAGCTTCACGGAGCTTATGATTTCGTATGTTTTTTTAAAAATATCCCTTTTTATATTTGAAATTAGTTATTGTATCTTTTGACACCTTAATATTTTGAAAAAATACAATTTTACATACATATTTATAAAAAAAATCTACTTACTGAGATATTACACTTCACGGTGGATAGGTTTTTAAATGGAAAATTAATGAACTTAAACTTTTGAATTATAAAACAGCAACACTCTCATCTGCATATAAATTTTAACTGACCTTCAGGAATCACATGCATCTTTAATGTCGTAGACAGAGGTTTTTGCTTATTTAAAAATGATTAAAGCACCATCCGTTGCATAAAATTTAAAGAAAAAACAGATTCACGGAGTATAGAATCAATTTTCAACACCTACATAAATGGTTATAAAAATTATTTCTTTTAATTTTTAATAATATTTTGTATTTGATTTGATTGCTTTGGATGTGTTTAATTTACCTAGTGAACTGATATTTTTAGTATGCTTTTACTACCTCGGATATTTGAAAACATATAGGTTAACCTAAAAAAAGTAACAGTCACGGGGGACACATAGACAAGGGAGGGGTTGGGTGGGGGGACATTTCGTAAGATTCACCCATGGGTGCACCTATGCACGGTGGTCAAAACTAAAGTATAGGACGAACAAAAATGTTATGTTTTGTTTTGAGTGGTAAAAAATAATAGGTGACTCAATAAATTAATACTGGGGAGTAAAGTAATTTAAATGATACAAAGTTTATTATTTTGCTTAATTTTATTAAAATTGTACAGGTAGTTTTAGTACAATAATTGCAAAAAAGTTTGCAAAACTTTAAAATAGGATCAGCTGGGATTTTGATATATACATGTTAGTGTTACCAAAAGAGTCTATAATCAGATTATGCTATCAGTTTTGGTTGGCATTTTTGTTCGTCCTATACTTTAGTTTTGACCACCGTGTATGGCTTTGCAAATTTAAACTGTTTGTAACATTTGAATCTGATTTTTTGGTTTTACAAAACATTCGTAAAATTCCAGGTGGTGGTGGAGATCAACCGGCCGCCCCCATTCGCAGTGTCCCCCTCTCGCAGAGAGTCATCAGCGTCTACGACGGCCCGCAAAACGTCCAGCGCGGCCAACGATGACCTGGACAAGATCGTGACGATTAAACGGGAGGAGACGACGGAAGACGAGTTGGAACCGAAGCGCGCCGACGTCGTAGCGAAAGCGCCCGAAGAAAAACGCTTCAGCATCCACAGGGCGTGGTGCTGTCTCATGACCAGGCGGACTTCCTAGCATACAGACCTCTACGACTCAGACTAGAGTAGGGTAGATGTGTAACCCGACCAACTAATAACGATACAAACGAGTCAAATTTGAGTGTAATAAAAATCAAGGGGGTTGTTAATTTTTTGAATGCATGCATTTTGTAATATATCTGCAAAAATCGAACATTTTTTTTACTTCCAAAACTGAAAAAATAAGCTGCTGTTTATAAAAATCCATGGATAAATGGCGAAGTTATGAATTTTTCAGTGGAAGACCAAAATTCAGTTTTTCGAGAAGTTTTACATTTTTTCTTCATTTCATTGAACTATATAATAGTTATTTATGTCATTAGGTTAAGAAGTAAGGCTTTTTGTGCTAAGCTCAAGGCACTTCTTGGCCGAATAGCATACAACATTTTATCTTCAAAGCACTTTATATAGGTCAATTTAATTCAACATCAAAGCGGCCTAACCTCACTTTTTTAGAATCTCATTTATTTATTAGCTAAAGATTACATTAAATGTACAATAATTATTATTGCTTTTAGAAGCAGTAATAGTTTGACAATACCTAGCAACATGATTTAAGTAGAAATGGATTTTTGCTATTACAATGCATTCAATTAATTGTTTAATAAATAGGTAGGTATCTAATTTCAATTTGTTTGGATTTTTATTAAAAAAATAGGTGGTTTGGAATGTTTAAGCTGTGTTAATTTCACAGAAAACTTAAAGCAAATTAAAATTTAAAGATAATTTAAATCGTAGAAAAAGAATCGTGCGTTTTCTTGGTTGCCTAACCTCACTTTTTATTTTATTGTTCATATTTAATTTTACAATAATTTAATGAAAACTATTAAAAATTAACATTAACACAAACAAATTAGTGCTTATTATAAATAAATTAAACCAGTTTAGTACGTTAATTTCTTAGAAAAGGATTAATTTGTCAGAACAATACCCCTAGCAAGAAAAAATCGAACTAATTACTTGCCTCATAAAAATTTTTATCGGCCTAGGCCATAACAAGGAATTTCTTTATCCAATGTTGACAACAATAAAGTTTAAATTATAGACCGCGTGGAGATAAAATTTAATATTGAACATTGATTTTTATTTTAAACATTAAATATTGAAATTAAATTATATATTGAATGTTAAACAATAAATATTGAACATTGAAGAAATTAAAAGTTTTATTTTGAATAATGTTTTCGGTGAAAAAACAACGTAAAAAAATCAAAAAATTCCAATCATGCACTTTATTTAGGTTTTCATTAAAGAATAAAGATATTACAAAATAAAAATAAATAAATAAAATAAAAATCGTCAAAAAGCTGAATTTTGGTCTTCCACTAAAAAATTCATTTTTCCATGTATTTTTATCAACATTAGCTTATTTTTTGTAAAAATGTCAGCTTCACGAAAAAAAATTCAAACTGGAGTTATCTGTTTGATTGAAACCTTTCCCAGGACGATATGTAAATTTTCTTCCTAAATTTTTGCCATAAAAACGATTTTTTTAAGTTATTAAAATCGCTAGCGTCAAAATACTTATCCGATATCAAAAGTATGTAAAAGAAAGTTTTAGAGGGCTTGTTTGACCAAATCGATCAATTAGATTTCAAGCCATACTCAAAAACGTCAAAACACCTCCGAAAATTGAAAAAAAAAACAATTGAAAATTCATATTTCAAAAACGCTTCCATAAAAAATATGGATATGGTGGGCAGAATTTTTTTTCGATTTTGTAAACTAGTGTTTAATCAAATCTTTATACAAATTTTTGTGGGAAATTGAACGCTCTACATGTGTTTAAGCGATTAATTTAACCATTTAAAAGATATTCAAGATCAAAGTTTAAAGAATTTATAAAATAATTTTTTTTTATAATTTTTTAGCTCATTAAAAAATAATTATTGTCAAATGAGTGTGACATATTTTTGTAGGAAATTAAAAGCTCTACAAAAAAGATCTGATGTTTTTATTGATTACTCTAACCGTTGAGAAGATATTCGTATCTGTACCCATTGATATTCGGATATGAATATCTTCTCAACGGTCATAGTAATCAATTAAACACATTAAACATTTTTTGTAGAGCGTAAAATTTAGTACAAAAATATGTCATACTCATTTCACAATAATTATTTTTTAATGCCTTACAAAATTATTAAAAAAAAGTAAACACATCAGTCATTTCTTGTAAAGCATTAAATTTGCTACAAAAATATAGTAAATTTAAAAGTAAACTACGTACACGTCATCAATCAGCTGATCGGGCACGGTTGTCAATGTGATGCTAAAATCCTTGCATCAAGGGAAAGTGGTAGTGCAACTACAGGGCGATAGATGGCGTTTACCAAAATGTCAAAAGTCTGAGTTTTTATAACCTATATGATGCACCGCCAAAAGTATGTTTTTAGCCATTTTTAAAGACATTTTCTGATATAAAACCCAAAAATTTTGCCATTTAAAGTCAGTCTCTGGTATATATATTATTATTTCTTGTATCCAACATATATTTTGTTAAATATTCTAATATATAATTAATAATAATCCTATTTACCTCTCTAACAGCTGTTAAAGGTAACAAAGGTCCATTATTATCCCGTTCTGCCTCAAAATAGCGTATTAAGGATGACACCAACTCTTGACTCCGACTATTTAAATGCTTCGGCATTTTAAATATAGGAAACACAAAAAAAACGATATATAACAAACACAAAAACGGCAATGAAAACTTAAACGATATAAAATAACACAAACAACAAACAAAATAAACGAAATAATACACGAATTAAACGAAATATTCAAAAACACAACTGACAGCTTCGAAATTCTAAAACGTCAAATTCTTTTTTATGTGTCATTTAAATTTGAAAAATTTGAATGTAAACATGACAACATCACAATTGTTGCCAACTTAATTTGGTTAAAATGCATTCAAATATTCAATTACAGACTTCGATTTAGTCATTTAGTGTTGGTACCAATGCGTAAAATTTTTGTTTTATTGATGACGTGTACGTAGTTTACTTTTAAATTTACTATATGTATAAAGATTTTATTATACTCATACCCTTAAGGGATGACAACTCATTTGGTGACACCCTGTATGTGGTATAATTATATTGTTTAATCTGCTGGTAAATGTCACTATTATTATCTTTTTATGGGACATTCCACCCACAAAATTTTAATACCTAAATGTTGTCTTTTTATTTCGAATTTTATGTGAGGCCCTGCATAATAGAAAGTTGCCAAGCCTTTTTAATATAGACCTATACTTAAAAATTAGTGACTAAACTTTGACTACGAAACACTAAGACTTAATTTAATTAAATGACAATGGACCATTCAAACATTGTAAATATATTTCATAATTTTAAGTAATTTAATAAAATGGTTTGTGTATTAAAAAATATCAAAATTCTTTAGGAAAGAATTTGTTATCTACTTGTTTGAGTTGGAGTCACACTGAATGTTATCAAAGAAAATAGTGATTATCTATTTTGCGTTACTGTTATAAAGTAACTAGACTGCACTAGACTATGTTTTGTGAACACTTGGTGTACTTTGTTATATTGCTAGAAAATTTATAGGTACGTATGATTTGTCAAAATGATGGAATAGTAAAATAGTCATAGGCTATCATAGCTTTAAAAAATTGTTTTGTACAAAAATAATAATGTAAACTTGTCATATTTATTTTCATTTATATAAATAAAATAGTTTTATTTTTTTCCTTTAAATTAATAATTATTAATTAATTAATTATAATTAAAGACAAAGCAAAGTAAGTACCTAGTTTACATTTTAATTTTAACATAGTTTTATATTGGGAAAATTTAAAAATCTATTTTACTATGAAAAAAAAGTTATATGGTTTTAAGTTTTTAACATACCTAATAGGTATTACCTATAGGTAATAAACCAAAATATTCAAGCTCTACTTTTTAAACCGAATATAATAACTGCACTATTTTTAAATTAAAAGGTTTACTTTACTTCGACGGTTTTATCCGTATACAGGGTGTCTAATGTTTTATTAAAAAGGTGTAAAATATATGAAAACGTTTAAATAAAATAAATTATTTTTATTAGAACCCAAGCTGAACTTTTATAGATGGACATTTAATATGTAACATATAGGTAAAATTGTTTTTCTAGGAATTAAGAATTGTCTCATATTAATTTTACAATGAATGTAATGAACAATTTAGTATAATTGTAACAAGATATTTCTGTAACTGTTAAAATAAAATACTTTAATAAAATTGAGTTTAATTATGCACATAACACCATCTAGCGGCAAAGGAACATAAGCACGTTTGCCGTGTTTTTACCCATTTGTTCTGTGATTTTCCGGCGTTCTGTCATTATTAGTTTGACAGTGAATCAAATAAATTTTGTTGAAAAGGTGCCAATAAGACCGTGGAAAAGAGGTAGGTCATTAGCCTATTGAGTATTTATTGTTAGCGTAGTTGATTTTAATGAATTAGTAGTACATTGTCCCAACCTACGGTTCGCCGTTTGTGAATTACACGAGGTTAGATTTGGAGTGGTGCTCCCTCAAGTCTATTGCATAACCTAGATGATAAATATTGTATTGCCCTAGCTCATGTTGGCTCTCCACTGAGTTAAACAGTATTGCTTGGCCTTCCAGCTGGTTGTTAACAAACTGGCTTGGCGCAGAACTATCTTGGCCCTCCAGATAGTTTTGGGGCTGTATGTTGGTGACTTTTTATTGGGGATTTGTTATTAATGACTTATCCGTTTGCTGTTATTGGTTGAGCTCATACCAGGGGTACGCGTTATTTATTAGTTGACATAAGTGCTCATAAATATTTATTTTGTTTTAGGTTTAGGGCTGGTCTGTCTCTCTATGCCAATGCGCCGTAATTCACTTAATTACTGAAGGTATCTAAGGTAGAATTAAATATTAATTACTTAGTCCCTTAAAAAGGATAAATGAATATTAATTAAATGTTTTAGATATTTTAAATTCTGTTACATAATTTATTAAGTATTTTGTAAATAATTTTGTATTATTATTGTAAACTTAATTAAGAAAATTTTAAAAATAATAATAAATGGTAAAGATATTGTTTTATTTATAAATCCTATAGCCATACTTTTTTATTTTTAGGACAAAATTTAAAATAGACAAGTTGCAAGCTTAAATAAAAATATCTGTAACGCAAACTAATTTAGGGTTAAGTATTAGGTATTTATCAATTAAAAAAATAACATGATTAAAAAATTCAGTTTCAAATTTTTGTAGAAGCACCCATTATTATAATTAGTTAACTTACTACCTACCTTGTTTAAAAATTATTATATAATAAATATTGATTATAACAAAATAACACCTATTTAAATATATTTAAATAATTTTGTTGTATACGCTAAAGAAGTATCGGGTTTTCGCAACGCGCGCGCCATCTGGTGGACTTCAAAAGCATTGCGTGAATTTAAGAATTGTCAACAATACATTTAAAGCATACGAACTGTACATCATTTTTAAATAAATAGGTAGTTTTTTCACAAAAGAGAGGAAGGCAGAAGTCTTACTCGACAAATTTTGTTCAATTGCACAGCTAAATCGCGCACGTTATTTGTGTTTTACGTTGCAAGGAAAAAACTGAAAAACTGGATTAGTAGTCGATTTCGATTGATTATTCTTTATATCATCGATTAAGAAAGTCAACGCTTAAATGCTTATATAGTCCCGTTAGTGTGTGTATTTTATCTAAGGGATCATAGTGAATTATTGTGTTTTTAATTGTAAATAAAATTCAAGAACTAAATCGTTGCATTTTCAAGTTTTGCTAGAGGATCCAATTCGGTAAGTACATTTAAATGTACAATTGTTGGTGCAGAATTAACTAATGATAACTTTACCTAATAATTAATATTTAAGTTTGGACACTTTTAAGAAATTAGTAAAAACTAATTTTTGCACAAACATAACCTTAAAATCAACCATTTTTATATTTGAGTTCTCTAAAAAACGCCGACAACTGCATTTTAAACAACAAAATATACCCGGGCCATTCCACGCTTAACGGATAGGACAGCCGCCGTGTTTTTATTTACAAAATAATATTGTTCCACCATATTACCAATGTCAAATTTTTATAAATAGCTCTAAACAAAAGCTGTTTAACAAGGTTTTTATTTGGCAAAATTAGGTATCGTGATTGACTGTCCAATTCCTTAAAAATTAATAACTTAAAGCGTAACGGGCGGGACTATTGCAAAGTCCCGACCGTTACGCTTTAAATTATTAGTTTTTAAGGAATTGGACAGTCAATCACGATACCCAATTTTGCCAAATAAAAACCTTGTTAAACAGCTTCAGTTTAGAACCATTTATAAAAATTTTACATTGGCAATACAATAGAACAACATTATTTTGTAAATAAAAACACCGCAAGTATCCCATCCGTCACGCGTGGAATGGCTCACCTACGAATTCATGGCAACATAATATTATATATAATACATAATATAATGGTATTTTACCGTTGAGTGGGGACTTCTTAATCAACGCTTTTAATAATGCTTAATGCTGTTTAAATTTAGACGACTTATTTGTTTGACGATTTTAACTGAATTGAAATGTTTACACTTTTCACGTTAATCACTACTAAAATGTGTATTTATTGTATCTAATAGGTACAATTTATATTTACAGAGACTGTATGCAATTTATTTCTTTATTAAGATTAAAACTGTTTATTGGAAAACCGGTAAAAACTCAACCCAGGATTTCCTCTCGAAATACACCTAACAACACAACAAATCGAACCACGGTTTTTTTCCGATATTTTTAACATTTTCCGGCTTTATTCTCAAAAACACATAAGCGTTTGACAGCTGATTATTAAAAGTCGTACTTTTGTTACGATGATAACAGCCGAGTGGTGGCGCTACTAGCGTATTGTTCTTAATTATCTAATAATTCAAAAAGAAATGTACTTACAGTGAAAGGGGCATTCTTGATAACCTCTAACAATCAGCTTATTTTCTAATTTTCCTTCTTGGTTTGGGCTGGTTACTTTTATTAAAATATACTTAAAAACTCCAGAAGGGTCAATGTCCACATCTTTAACGTGAGGAATCACTACACTGGCCATTCTTCTGAGTTGCAAAAAACGAGTCAGCATTAATTAATTTCCCCTTAAAATTCAAACACACGCTGTATATTTATCTACTTTATCTTTATGTATTGGAAATTCGAGACAGTGGAAATATGCACCGTTGTCAAATTTGTGTACAGTACTTGCTTTATACCATTAAGGATATTTTAAACAATTATGCTACTTATTTGTTACTTAAAACATATCATTTATTGCATTAACTTTTACTGCACAATCGAAAATAAACACGATTCATTATGTAAACAAATATTTGCATTCGTAAATAACACTGGCAACATCTCATTTATAACCTCAAAAAAATAAAGAATAATTTATGAAATTTACTAAAAAGGCTGTTAAAATAAAGTGCATTTCGGTTTTAAATAAGCAATTATGTTAGTGAAAGAAGCACCAGTGATATGGAATCTCTTGAAAGGAATAGTTTGTGTTTATAAACCGGCAGAAATAACATGCGAAAATTTAAGAAAAGCGTTATTGGCCAAAATTTGTGCAGGTAATAATGTGTTCATAATAACCACAATAACACCATTACCACGAAGAAATATTAAATTATAAGTTGGATAATTTACTTACTTTTTCACAATAATTGTTTTCTCGACGGTGTTACACTGGGCATGCGCCAAAATTACTAAAATTTAAACTGGTGCCAATTTATAAAAAGACAAAAAAGTCAATTTCGCAACGATTGAAGTAGGGATTTTTATGTTATAATTGGCTCATAATTATTATTATTATATGGATCTATAGCACGGTTCAAGGATACATCGAGAGGATAGCCAATCTGTTGAAAAACAAATTAAACAATATTGCGATTGGTCAGTTTATAAAGTTATCTGGTGTAAAATGTATGTACAGTTAATTTTTTTTATTTGGACTCGTGTTTTTTTATTAAGTTGGTAGCTTATGCCAATTTTATTTAGTATTTTTAGTATTTAAAAAATGGTACTACTGCTGAAGACCTTAATTAAATACTCTAAGTCTGACACTGTCAAATTGACAGTGTATAAAAAGATAAATATGCCAAAAATTATATCAGATTCTAAAGTAAAAGAACTTTTAAGGTAAATACAGTTGTCAAGTTGGTAGCATTGAAACAAACTAAGCTAGTTATAAATCTAATTGTGGTTATGTATAACTTATTGTAGGTGACATTTTGCAGTTGTCAAGTTGAGTTGTCGAAATTTGTATTTAAAAATGCAATAAATTTGGCTTTGGTGGTGCTTGAATGAGTAAAATCATATAAAAAAAGTAGTTAAATATAGGTTGCTTTACGGGCCAGAAGAGAAAGTATTCCTAGCGGATAATAATCTTCGCTTTGAAAAGAATTTATATAAAAGAAATTAAAATTTTTTGTGAACGTAAATGTTGTCCAATGGTGAATAATGTGAAAATAATGTGTGATGTAGGTAATATTTATAAAACCAAATTCGTTACTTTTTACTCCAAAAATGTCCATAAGGCATAAGGCATAATTTCATCAAAATGAAGTTTTGCCCTCAAAAGGGTTTTTACATTCGAATTCTTTGCTATTATTTTTGGCATAATTATCTTTTTATTTATAATTGACAAGTACATTATCAAGGCTTTGTTATCTATGATCAATAGTACCTAAATATTATTGTCAATTTGACGGTGTCAAAGTATTTAATTAAATTCTTTAGCAGAAGTACCATTTTTAAATACTAAAAATACTAAGTCAAACTGGCATAAGCCACCAACCTAACAAAAAAACACGAGTCCAGATAAAAGGTTACAATAAATTGTTTTTTAATATTTTTAAATATTTGTTTAAAGAATTTTATGACTACTTTTGTTTTGTTTTTTAGACCTAAATAACATGGAATGTAGGTCCATATCAGAGAGGGTAGTAATTGAGGGAAATCCTTTAGAGAAACTCACAGTCAATGTGGTGCCAAATTTGGCAGACCACCCTGCAGTGGTGGGGCCCCGCTACTTACCAGATGAGTTACCAGCTAGTTGGTCAAATTATCTTGGATGGAACACTTGTGGAATATTATGTAAGTATTAATAAAAAGAACTATTGGTTTACCACAAAAATTTTTTTATTTTAATTTGTAACTTTCTTGTTCAAAACTGAACAATAGTATATTGTTTTTACCGATTTCCAAGTTGGCCAATAAATCTACTATATATATATATATACAGGGTGTCTCAAAAGTCACCATTAATAAGGTCTATTTGTCCCACACAAAAAAATGAACATTTCTCCTGAACCTAAAAACCAAAACACTGACAGTGGCAGTGAAAAAATAAAATTAAGGTCATTTCACAATACAATACGTTCATAGCCATGGAATTTTCACGAAAGTTTGTGTTTTCCCACCTCTAATCATTCTGCTAGAGCACTCCTTTGATTGGCTACTTTATGGTTTTTTTATCATAGGGAATTGATAAAATGAATATACCATAGTCAAAGGCCATAATTTAAAAAGACAACATTTTAAAAATAATGAATTATACATTTGCAATATTTTTGTGCAGTGTTTGGGTTAAGAGAAGGCACCAGGACAGCTAAATATTTACGTGAAAATCGACCAATGAGGGCATACAAATTAAAAGGAACGCTAGGAAAAGCCACTGATAACGGTTTGGCTAGTGGGAAAGTAGTGGAAAAAAGTACCTGGAAACATGTCACCAAATCCCACATGGAAAAGCTGCTGTCGTCTATACAATCATCACATCAAAAACAAATGTTTCAGTAAGAAAGTTATAAAAAAGGTTTTCTTAAAATTATTGGTACTTTTTTATTAATACATATATCAACCATTTTATATTTATTTATTGTTTATTGAAATCAGCAAATAACTCTTTCCACCGTAGTCAGATTATAGGTGAAAAGTCATTCTCTTAAAGACATCTATAAGATATCTATTAGATATCTAATACATCTCAAAAGAGATGGCTAAAAGATGTCCCTGTTCTGTAAGATGTCCTAAAGATGTTTTAAAACTGTCTCAAATCAAACATAATTGCAACACAAAATCCTAAAATTGTAATTAAATAACAAAGTTATAACAAATATAGTGGGTATACCTCTCACCGCTGTATCGCTAAATATATATACCTGATCATATCACATATTCAGATAAAGTTCTGGGTCTAATGATACCCTAGCAACAATGATGATATATACGAATAAAGAAAAAAATGACGAGATTCTTTACAACACAAACACAACTTTAGTTACGATTTTTATTAAGCACGAGCGCAGCTAACGAGCGAGTGTTTAATAAAAACGAGTGTCTAAAGAAGTTTATAAAACGATACTATACTTGAGGCCTGTCAGAGCAAAGTCAACAATCTCCCGTCAGACTAAAACTGAGTATAAATTGAAATAATTGATTTTGGTATTTTAAATTCTAGATTTGTAATTTTTTTTATATATTATATTGAAATATTGTTGTTGTTAGTCTAGTACAACTACAATTGGTCTCCAGGATGCATAGTATAGGTGAAATCTTTAATTATAAATTGGAGATTGCTGACTTTGAAATGAATTGCTGGAGATTGCTCATTTTGTTGTAAACGTTTAAGAAGATTTAGAAAAATAAACAAAAAAATAATTGTATTTTTATTCCTTTAATGGTTATAAAATTTAACTATACAATCAATGTGGAAAAATTCTGAACTGGACCACATCAATCTGGAACCAAGTTGCCTCGTGCAAAAAAGTTTTTTATAGTACATCAACTCATCATCTTCTTCCCACTTTGCTCCGTTATGTTTTACTTGCAATGTTTTGACATTATCAGCCTTTTTTTGCTTTACCTTTACGTCTTATTATAGTATAATAGCACAAAATAAACAAGATAACTTTTTTATAATTCTTAAAACAATAAAACGTATATACAATGTATTATACATATACCTATTTTAAATATATTTTTAAGTGCAATTTACTCCAATAGAACTTAACACTATGTACCAGTAAAAAAAACACAAAATTAAATCTCTAAAATACGTTATAACATCAAATGTTAGGATATCAGGTGACACAAATTACTAATTTCTAATGGTGGAATTGGAGATTGTATACTTTGCTGCAAATCTATCAGTGGAGATTGTCGACTTTGCACTAAATGTCATTTTTAAAATAGGATTTTAGGCATGATTTAGCTCCTTTTGCAGCACATAAACTTTATCATCTTATAGATAATTAGTTGAAGTACAGTCTCCGCCAAAAATCTAATTTTTGACCAAAAGTGGAGATTGTCTGTTTTGCTATGACAGGCCTCACTTAATCTATGACGAACAGAAATAAGAATTTAAAGCCAGTTTTAATTCATAAATATTTGACATTTGACGAATTTAACCTCACTTTTTCGCAATTTATTCTAAAGCTAGCTAACTTCAGCCCGTGACTAAAGTTCCAAAAAGCCACTGTTGCTAACTTCAGCCCGTGACTAAAACTCTATATAAATTTCAAAGTAAAATAGCACGAATTTTAATTTTTCAGGCTATGTGGGGTGGATTTGCAATCTCAAACAGCATATGATTTGGCAGTTCAGGGTCCAATAAGACCAGCAAATTCAAAAGTTCCTCTTTTGTATGGCATTAAATGTATAGAATTCACACCTCCAAATTTTGTTATAGGTAAAAAATTATTATAATAGTTTTGTACAATACACAGTTGAAAGTTTTACTCACTTGCTCATTTATTTGTAATTTTTGGAAATAATTAAGTTTTAGATGGGGTAAAGTAGATAGTTATCGGACACTTTATGGTATTGGACAATTAACATTAATACTGTAAAAACAAGAGTTCTATAAATAGTTACATTAAAGTCAAATCATTAGATGACGCTGTATACAATTATAACTATCTCAGTATGTAATAATATAGAACTACTTTATTTTGGGTCCAATATATATATCAAAAAAGTTCGCACGTTACTTTGGTGGTGAGATTTTTGTAAAGAGAAGGGCAGTGTTTAAATTACAATAAAAAATATTTCTAAAAAGTGTACAGATCAGTGTGTGGTATAAATGCGTTCCTCAGGGTTTAAACATTGTCACTTTAATGCGTTTTAATTTTAATTCTGAAACAAACAGTAAAATGGCCAGTGTCCAATTACTGGTTGGTAAAAAATGTAAATTTCTATTATTGGACATATGTCCAATATCATACTCTATTTATATCCCGGACTTTTACCAGCAAATTCTTATGTAAAATTATCCCCTGAATCCGAAAAGACCATCAAGAATTATAAAAGTTAAGCTGTTTTTGAGATATATTATATGTAAAATTGATTACTTATATTTCAAAAACTGTTCTACTTTTATAACTTTTGACGACATTTTCGTATTCAGCGAATAATATTTCATAGGAATTGAATGCTAAATTTCCTAGATACAAATTGCTGTTGACGAGAATTATTAGTGGCTGCTTTTTCGCTATGACATTTTTAGAGAGATAAGAAATATAGTGATTTTTTTGTCACAAGACATCTTGCAGAATAACAGTGATTTAAATACAGTGCATTATAGAGAACATAAAAAACTAATGACAACAAAATTAATAAATTCCGAAAATACTTTTCATACCACCCGAAAAAATATTAGATATATATATAAATCATCCTGTTCCGGCCTAAACATTATAAATGCTTAACAAACTAGAGATACCACACTTAATGATATTTGCAACAAACTATTTCAGAAGTCAGACCAAGGAATTAGTAGTTACCTTCAGAATCCAGAAAAGGGATGAGGAATCCGAGAAAGAAATATATTATAAAACTATTATCAAAAATTCAAATATTCTTATTTTTAAGTAAACGTAAATAAAGTTTAAACAAACAAACAATCCTTTTTATATATTTATAAGAAAAAAACTAAAATCTTAAAAAAACGGCATAGGTATATAAATTTTAAATAAATAATGTCCAATGTCCAATAACTATTTGGTTTACCCTATCAAACATTTTTAGATACAATCGTACATTTGCTCAGTTTTAAAATTAAAAGTTATTTCACAATTTCAGAGGTTCACTGCATCAATGAAAACGAAAGTTACTTAACAACTTTTATACACGAAATCGGAACCAAATTGCACAGTACAGCACATTGCACAGCCTTACAATGCGTAAGACATTCTTGTTTTACTTTGGAAGATGCGTTATTGAAGAAACACTTTACCTTACAAAATGTACTTACCAATATGGAGAAGTGTAGCATTAAATTGGAGGAAAATAAGGATCTACTGTATCAAAAAAGTGCAAGTTTAACTAGTATTAATACTGAATAAACAAATTTTAAGTAGTAAGTAGTTTCCTTATTTGTTTCCTATGAGTTATTGAGCTATAGTTTGAAAAGGGAGGATAAATAATAAAGGGTAAATTTTTGAATGATTTATTGAACATTCGATACATTATTTAGTCCAGAATTGAAATATGAAATCAAGTTCTATGTCCCATTTTATCTACCTCTAGAATTCTTAATAATATCAGAATAAAGCCATTATATGAGTGTATAATAATAATAGATAATATGAATCTTATTGTAAATATTTTTGAGTTAATTTATGTAAGTAAATATAATGGCATGAAATTTACTATACTCCGTCCAGCAAACCACATATTTTATTTAGTTTGCTGGATTAAATATAAATACATTTTTAAGATATATACAAGTCCAAAGTATGTACACTTTGTGTTTGGTGCTAGTTAAATATGTAAGTGCTTGAGAAGTGTTATTTGTGTCCACAAAATACCTACTTAATATAATAATACGATTAAATTAAATTCTAAGGATTTTAAAATTAACTTGTTTGTTCAAAGTAAAATATTTTTGGCAAATTTACATAAATTCATTATAATCATTATACCCTGTATGGCAAACCGTACCTTTTTGGGGACACAAAATCAATATACAGGGTGTCCCAGAACAAAATGCACTGTTTAAATATTTAAATATTTTTTTCTGTAACACCCTGTACGCAAATATATAATTTATTTATCATGAGTTGATGTCTAGGACTAGAAAATCTTTGGGTAAATTTAACACTTCAGTAAATGTTTAATATTAATATTAAAATTGGTTCAAGCTGCTCAGTCTGTCATCACAGTGTCCGCTAAATAGCGCAATTCAAAAAAATCAAATATTCAATTTTTTTAATCACCCTAATCACGGTGGTCAAAACTTAAGTATAGGACGAACCAAAATGCCAACCAAAACTGATAGCATATTTTGATTATAGACCCTTTGGTAACACCAACATGTATTTATCAAAATCCCAGCTGATCCTATAGGATATATTTTAAAGTTTTGCAAACCTTTTTGTTTTTCTATTTCTATATATTATTTTGCAATTATTGTACTAAAACTGCCTGTACAATTTTAATAAAATTAAGAAAAATATTAAACTTTGTATCATTTAAATTACTTTACTCCCCAGTATTAATTTATTGAGTCATCTATTATTTTTTACCACTCAAAACAAAAAAACAAAAAAAAAAACGAAGATTTATATCTTAAATATTTTTTATAACAAAAAATACTGGAAGTTTGTCTATGAAATAATTACAACTTGCAAATTTTGTAAAACAATAATTAAGGTGGTTATGAAAAAAATTGCTATACGTTATAACGCAAGTGACATTTTGCTTTAGTTGTTTATTTAATGTATACTTTATAAAGTTAAAAATAGTATTTTAAAATGAAAATTAAACCGAAATTCAAGTTAAGCCATGAAGAAAATCGAAAGAAGGTATGTGCTGGCTGTGGAGACAAAATTGTTTTTGGTAATCGAAAAATTCAGAGTTTAGGGTTTCTGAGAAAATATAAAAATTACTGCAGACTTTTTCAAACGAACAATTTAACTTAAGTGATTCAAAATTACCTACTTCAATATGGTAAAAACTGTATTTTTCCATAGTCACAATTGCCAAATTTTCAAAATTTAGAAATTGCTAGAGAATTTCGCGGCAGCCAAGAATGTATGTGCTTTATCTGCAAAATGGCAAGATATAAAGGGCATAAAAAATTATTAAGGGAAGAGGACGGACGAACGAACTAAAGTTTTGATATGCTCTTCCTTTCTAGGGGATATCGCTAGATGTAAGAAGCATGTTTGTACAGAGACTGAAGAATTTAAAAATACTGTTTCCATGTTAAAAACAATTCCATGTAAAACCCAAAAAAAAAAGTTTTACTGAAAATTTAAGGCAAGCAGTATTCGATTTTGCTTCAAAGAATCTTTAGTTATTTATTAGTTTTGTATTAGATACCTTAAAACAATAAATAAGATATTGCAAACTGTATTTTACATTATTTTGTATTTATAATGTAATTTATTCATATTTCAGTCATGTATCTGCCAAATTTTTAAAAACATTTGATAATGGTACTAGAGTATTTTATCGAAATGGCATAAACAATTTTAAAATACTATGAAATATGCAAAACTTTAATAAAGGATCAGCTGGGATTTTGATAAATACATTTTTGTGTTACCAAAAGAGTCTTTAATCAGATTATGCTATCAGTTTTGGTTGGCATTTTTGTTCGTCCTATACTTTAGTTTTGACCACCGTGTAATGGTCATGATGCTAATCACGATAAAAATAGTATTTATTTACTTTAAAATATATGTTTTTCTGTGCAAGTACGACTATGACTAATAGACATTTTATTGTAAACAATACATTCGTATATATTTACTATACGCTTAAGAAGTATCGCTAGTAGCGCCACCACTCGGCTGTTATCATCGTAACAAAAGTACAACTTTTGATAATCAGCTGTCAAACGAGTGTTTTTGAGAATAAAGCCGGAAAATGTTAAAAAATATCGGAAAAAAACCGTGTCACGATTTGTTGGGTTGTTGGGTGATTTCGAGAGGAAATCCTGGGTTGAGTTTTTACCGGTTTTCCAATAAACAGTGTTAATCCGAAAGAAGAAATAAATTTCATACAGTCCCTATAAATATAAATTGTATCTATTAGATACAATAAATACACATTTTAGTAATGATTAACGTAAAAAGTGTAAACATTTCAATTCAGTAATAATCGTCAAACAAATAAGTCGTTTAAATTTAAACAGCATTTAGCATTATTAAAAGCGTTGATTAAGAAAGTCTCCATTCAACGGTAAAAAACCATTGTATTATGTATTAAATATAATATTATGATGCCATGAATTCGTAGGTAGGTATATTTTGTTGTTTAAAATGCAGTTGTCGGCGTTTTTTAGAGAACTCAAATATAAAAATGGTTGATTTTAAGGTTATGTTTGTGCAAAAATTATTTTTTACTAATTTCCAAAAATGTCCAAACTTAAATATAAATTATATTAGGTTAAGTTATCATTAGTTAATTCTGCGCGAACAAATGTACTTACTGAATTGGATACTTTGGCAAAACATGAAAATGCAACGATTTAGTTTTTGAATTTTATTTACAATTAAAAACACAATAATTCGCCATGATCCCTTAGATAAAATACACACACTAACGTAACTATATGAGCATTTAAGCGTTGAGTTTCTTAATCAATGATATAAAGGATAATCAATCAAAATCGAGTACTAAACCAGTTTTTTAGTTTTTGTGAAAAAACTACCTATACTTCTTTAGCGTATAGTAAATACAAATATAATGTTTAAACTAAAATGTCAATTTTCTTATATTTAACCATAAAAATTAGGTAAGTAAGATGTAAAGCAATTAATATTTTTTATTGAGGTAAAATAAAAAATATAAGGTTTTTCTCAAAACTTGTAATTGCACAGAAGAAGAACATTTTCCGAAAAAAAATAGTAATTTTTATGCTATAGCATAAAAATTACTATTTTTTTCCTATAGATTGCGAAATGCCGAAATTTTAAAACGTTTTAGTTTTCAATTCGCCCTTGATTAATTTATCCAATAAACAATTTGAAATCAATACAATACTCTGATAAAATATCATTTTTTTTTTATAAATAAAGTGTGCTGGACTAGACGCCCGGTAATTTGATAAACTGAGCTCTTTCGCAATAAAATTGGAATGTGCTATAAGCTGTTAAAGCATGTTTAACATGTGTTATATTAATTTATCTATCCGATATTAAAGCGTTAATTTGGATGTTCGTTTGCCAAATAGTACAGAAATGTGAAGAAAAAAAAATTCTGCACTAGTGACGTCTTTTCATTCTTCTAGAATCTAAAAATATCAATTGCAAGCAAAATTTAAACTCGTCAGTTTGACAAGTTTTTAATTTTACTTACTTTCATAACAATAATAGAATATAAATAAACTTTATTTAATAAAATAATCAACAAATCTAGGGGTAAAACAATTAACAGGTTATAAAAAATAAAACCATTATGTCTCAGAACATACACCAATCTATATACACTCACAGGCAAAATAATCGATCCACACAAATTTTCGATAAATTTCTATCGCAAATAACTTTTTTATTTGATTTCGGATTTAAAGAAATATTAAAGAATATTGTAGATACATTAATGGAAAATCGCTCACATTTTAAAAATTACTAAAAAAAATACACGTACGTTTATAATATACAGGTTTAAACAAAAATATGTTTTTTTCCATAAGTTTAAGACACTCTGTAGAGTGGCAAAACCGTATATTGTTCTAAATTAAGTTTTATTTATCAAGTCACATCTATTCTTAACAGTTTTGTTTTTGGTTTACCTTGATATATTCATTTTTGTGGAAAATATGGATTTTTTTAAAAAAACATTGCAATTTCCAATATTTTTCTGTATGAAGAACTAAGGTTGCTATGGTCCATCCATAGGCTATGGAGAATGACAGTGACAGTTTTGTTAAATTATCCCATACTTGGACATGTCATACACGGCTTTCAAAAGCTATCAAAATGTTTTTTGCAAATTAATGTTTAAATTTTGAGGTATCTTCTTACTTTAAAAAATGGATATGTCTCCGACTGATGTTGCCAGAGCCATTAATTTAATCCAGGATGGACGGTCACAGTATTACGTGGCAAGTGTTTTAAACGTCACAAGAAGTAAAGTACAAAGGGCAACATCAGTCGGAGACATTTTTAAAAGTAAGAAGACACCTCAAAATTAACACATTAATTTACAAAAAACAATTTGATTTGAGCTTTTGAAAGCTGTATATGACATGTCCAAGTATGGGATGATTCAACAAAACTGTCACTGTCATCCTCCATAGGCTATGGATGGACCATAGCAACCTTAGTTCTTCATACAGGAAAAATATTGGAAATTGCAATGTTTTTTTTAAATCCATATTTTCCACAAAAATAAATATATCC